TGAACCGGATTAGGGGTCAGTGCCTGTTGGTTGCTCGTTAGTTTTTGGTCATCATCCAAATGGAAATGTGAATTTATGGGGCTTATTTATTTGCACTTCATGGAAGAGGGGCGAATATAGAGACCAGCAGATGATGATTCTGTGTAAACAAGCAGATGTCAGTGTGTTGCAATGCTTGAGCTGTTGTTAATTTATTACTGGATTTGGGTTGGCCAAATGTTTGTTCAGCTGAAGTAATTTGCAAATTGCGCTTGGCCAGCCAAAGAAACAATTGCCTGTGTATTCTGTGTATATTAATTGAAGGAAAATGTTAATAACCTGAGGCAAACAGCAGCATTAAAGCAGGCTTGATCCTTTAAATACTGGCAATTTTCAGCTAATTGGTTTGTTTCATTTGCATTTGAAACTTTCCCAAAGGAGCTCTGTTTGGTCTGAGATCCCTGTTGAAAAGTGCTAGGGAAAATCTGCAAAATTTCCTCATTGAATTGCCAAAACAGAACCGACATTGTTGAGAGCTTCAGCCCTTCGCATCCCCCCTTTTTTCCTTTTAAATTGGCTCTCGGCACGCAGAAAACTACGCAAAACATTTTGTAAATTGAATTTTATTTGTTGAGATTTTTGCGGCGCGCTCAAATGTAATTGAAATAAATTTTCAATAGAATATCCGCCCGAAGAGTGGCGGAAGCTTATGGCAGGCAATGAAATTATTTGTTTGTTATTCTAGCTGAGCTGTAACGCTCGGCCAATTCCGTCCAGGAGGAGCAGGAGTGGGGTTAAGATGCCTCAGCAATCGGCGAATTTCCGTTGCGGCAGGTCAAAGCATCCTAAGGAAAGGGGCGGCGTTTTTAGATTTTGGATCTGGATAAATAAATAAGGCAGAGTGTTTTAAAATTACATGAAATATGTGCCAGAGAGTAAAGAGAGAGAGAGAGAGCTCACATAGAGCATATAGCTCGGCGGCATAAATGGCACGTTCATCATACGCCCCGTGTACACAATTTGGCAGCTTTATTTATATACCCCAGCATGAATGTGGGATCGCTGCTAGCACATATCAACCACACACACAGCCACATCGCCTTATGTTTTCACGCAAAACGTTTGCTTTTCAATTATATAAACATATTTCGATTGTATTCAGTCAACGGCTGGGCTCTGTGTGTGCATTAAAATTATAAATTGTTTGAACAGCCAAAGGCACAAATAAATAAAACACAGCCAGCGCCGGGCACCATGGGCGAGGCGAGGCAAAGCGAAATGAAACGAAACGAAACGCCGACGAAATGAAAGCGAAGCGCATAAATAACTGACCAAATGTACTCGAAATTTGGAATAAATATGGGCGGTTTTGTGTTTTCTTTGAATTCATGGGTGGCTTTTAGGGTGCCGTTGGGGGTGGTGGAATCTCCTTGGGAACTGCAACAAGTGAATGGAAGCTAAGCGAGCATCAAAGGCCAAGAGACGCCTGACATTGAATCGTCTTGTTGTGTCACGCCTTTAAAAAAAAAATTCAACACAAATATCAAACAAACGGACATACACCTATGTGTATTGGATACACAGAAACAGTTTAAGGAAATTAATTTTGTAGAAAATATTTTGAATAATCATTTGCTCTTTAAAAAAGCTTAAAAGGTCTATCTCGTCACGATTTTCTTACTTTAAGTTAAGTATTTTTCATTTGTAACAATATTTAACATACTTAGCTTATAATAATAATTTATATATTTCTCCTAGTGTACAAATATTCAACCCATACAGACAGCCAGTATGTGAAACACACGTTTCAATGGCTGCCAGTGAGATATTTGTTTGGACTTGAAGAGGCGCCACCGCGTTGACAGCTGTCAATGAATGGGGGTGAAGGGCGTTAGGGAACCATTTTGCAGGAGGAGGAGGTGCGATGCAGGGGGTGGTAGTTTACGATGGGCGCTCAAGGGGTGGGATATTGCAGAGACAGCTGTCCCTGCTCTGATTAGAGCTGTGGTTTTCCACAGTTTTGCGGAATGCGCTGGCGAATTTGAAAACAAATTAATATCACAGCCAATACAATAAAAGGCAACGAGGGGAAATTACTGTGGTGTACGATACCGATTCGTGGCCAGGCTAATCGCACGGAAAAGCTCGGAAAATAGTTTTCCCATCATCCGTATGCGCAACTAAATCCTCTCTAAGCCGGGAGCGGGGATCTGGTCCCCCCTCATGGATTTCCAATTAATCTCTGTTCAATATTATGATGTCTAATCAACGGTATCCTGGACGGGACAGGACAGGAAAGCAAACCAACGACAATGGGACCCACGGTGGCCACAGGAAATTCCATTATCCATGTGAGTGGGTTGAGAGTTGGGTTGTCTTTGGTTTGCCGCCTGGTTATGTGAGTTTCCGGCTTGTTGCACAAATTAGCATGGCCCATTTGAGCTGGACTGCGAGCTGAGCAAAGATTTGCCTAAATATATCCTGATTTGGAAAGGATGATGAATAACAACTGAGGTCACCGACTGAACAGTACCCAGTTGTGTGTATTCTCTGTTTATTTATAGTTAATAAGTACTTACAGCTTATTTGTTTGAGTTTATGCAGCCCTTTTTATGACATATGAGGCGTATACGCTATATTGCATTACTCATACGCACTGATGTCTTTGTTAAATTTGATCAGAAAACAGTGGGAGCTAATTGAATTTCACTATGGAATTAATTTTGTAATTTTTTTGGCTATATTTTTTATCCCTGAACTCTACTGTCCCTTTGTTTAATGTTATTTCAAAACAGTGGGAGGTTATTTGATTTCCCTTTGATAAGATTTAAATTTTTTATATATTTTTTCCATAATATTTTATAAATTATGATTAACAATACAGCTGCAGCCACAAACATCTCACAAAAGGTAAAATACCCCATAGAAAACCATCGTGTAATGAGCGAATCAAATCGGCAAACAAACGGACAATGGTTAAATCAACTGTGAAATTTATGACAGTTTTCCGGGTAGTCCGAATTAAGGATAAAACGGGGCAAGGAGCTGGGTGTAAGGGGAAGCGGAACAACTGTGACTTTATTTAACTAATTTTGCATTTTCAATTCAAAGTCGACTTGGGTCACGTAGCCCTGCGGCTGGAACTTTGACCTGTTAAGCGCATAAAAATGACAAGAACGCTACGTGACTCATTAGCCGGGCTTTTGGCCAGGAAGAGCCAAAGCCAGAGCCGGCGGGCAAGAGAGAGTGAAAGTGGAAAGTTCGCCAGTCCGCCAGTTCATGGGTTCAGCATGTTAGCAGTTCACGAGTTTAGCAAACGGATCCGGACTTTGGCAACGCAATTAGTTCGGTAAGCTGCTCCAGGCGAAGCACACACGCATTCCATATGCCACGCACACATGGACGGACATATGTGTGTACACACATCCTTATCCTTATCCACGGGACCCTGGCTTACACAGCTCATGCGTTTTCATTTCCATTCCGGGCCCCATAAAAACGAGAAAAGGCCGAGCCGACCCCAAAAAGTAAATTGCAATGCAAATTTAATTTGGCTGCCATAAAACTCGACGAAAGAAAAAAAAGAAAAACAAAACCAGGGGGGAGGAGGGAGCCAGACAGTCGTAAAACAGCGGCAGCAGAGAAATCGAAGATTCCCGGGCAACAACAACAAAAACAAGAAGAGAGAGAGGAAAATGCGGCAGCAGCGGAGGAAACTGCATGCGTGGCTGCCGCGCCAAGCCGGAAATGCAATTTGTAATTTTGTGCAACGATTTGTGGCAATTAATTGCTGCACCACAACAGCACCCCGTGTGCCACTAAAACCCGCACCTTCTCCCCATCTTGAGAACGCGCCAGACCGCAAGACACGGAAACCTCAATATTTATTTTTTGTTATTTGTTACTTTTTTACATACGCACTCGCCTGCTAGCTGGCTTTTCTTTTTATTTTCCTGTTTTTCTGATACTTGTTTCTCTGCAGAAGACTTTGCATTTGTTGGCGGCACAGAATTTATTGCATTTCATTTTTTTGCAATTTCTCTCGTCTGTCGGCCGCTTTTTGTTGAGGATTTTTTGGCATCGAGTATTTAAGTGATTTCTGCTTAACAATATTTAAATTTTCGTTTTTTTTTATATTGCCCCGCAAATTGGAATCTTTTGTGATAATTTGCGCCGAAATCAAACAGCTGCAAAATTTGTTTTCTCCTATGTTTTTTTTTTGTGGGTTCTTTGCTTTTCTTTCGACGACGTCGCCTATAGAAAGTGTGGCCGAACCAGTGAGATTTATATATATCCGCTTATATGTCCGCCTATATCGGTGCTGCAGTGTGTGTGATGTATAATGTAGGGGGAAGATTTATAATATTCGTGGGACCGTATAAACAATTTGTTAAGACGCACATAGAGAAATGGCATTTGGTATAAATAATATAGCCAGAGTTCGCCATGTTTTGGCCAATTTCACAAGCAAAGAGATCGGTGTGTTGGATCCCTTTTTCAGAACATATAAATAATGATTAATAGTGTTTCATAAGAAGAGCGCCTCAAGGGTGAGAAGTTTTTGAAAAAGTCATTCTATACTTGGTTTCAATTATTTTATATATATATATTTATTTAAAACAAAAAATATTATTCGCATGTCACCAAGTCATTAATCAACCATCGTGCGGCAAATAATGATTATTCTGGTTGAGAATTTTTCAAAGTAAACTTCTTAAAATAAATATAAAGTTGGCAGAGGAAAATACAAGTCAAACAATGTTGCGATTATACTTATAGTTAAATTTATAGTTGTTTAATAAATTCCTTAAGAGAAACAAGTGGTAAACAAAAACACATTTTGGAAATATTTCATGTTTTGCAAAAACATATTGCTCATTTTGAAGGCTTTAAAAACATGATAAATAATATTTTTCTTATATAAATCTTTTTAAAGGGAATATTACATATAAAAAATATCTATTTTATAAACCCAACTTTAACTTAATGAAAGTTTTTATTGATAAGATGTAATTACTCACCTCAGTGATCTTCATGGTGCGTTTCACAGTTTTGCGGGTTACTTCGGTGGTCTCCTCCACGACATCCCCGTCCTCGTCGATGGTCTCGGTGACCATTTTCTCGGTCTCGCCGGGAATCACCTCCTCGGTATGTTCGGTGACCACGCTGGTCTTGCTCTCGGCATCAGCATCGGGTTTGGCTTCGGTTTCGGGCTTGGTCTCCTCGGCGGAGCCACCGAAAACATCCTCAATGTCCGACATGGTTCTGGCTTCGAATTCCTACACGATGCGATTGCAGTTTATCTTTTTTTCACTTTAGCTTTCTTCTTTTCCTTGGCGTTCTTGTGTGTTCACTTTCACTTGGTCCGTTCCACTGGATCCACTGATCACTGATCACAAACAATAACACATATAACACGCAGAAATGCTCGGTTTTTTCTTGCTTTTCTTGTGGCCTGAAAAAATGAACGAAATGAATGAATTTTTTTTTCTTTTGTATATTCCGTTGGGCTCTTGGCAGCCGCCGATTATTATATAAACAAGTGGAATTTCGCGGCGCGATCGCTTGTTAATAACTTGTAGAGCGCTGGATAATGGTTTAGTTATGTGGTTTCGGTTTTTTAGGAATCCTTTTAGGACTGTGCCCACGATCCTCTCGGTAACTGATTGATTTTTAAACTGAGAGGGAGACTGGTCGAATGGCGGCGACGAAAGGCACGATAACAACGAACAACGGATACGGAGAACGAATAACGGAATAATGGAACAACGGGGAGCAACGGGACAACGGAACAATGGGACAACGGAACAACGGATACCCCGTGCCGATGACAAAACACACCGAGAAGGCGAAACAAATTGAAATGGCAATCAAAAACGCATCACTTCAACTTGTTTCGCAAACAAATCCGGAATAATTACGGAATAACGGAACGCACACGAGGCGAATTACACGATCACACGGGTCTTCTGCTTTCTGTTTTCTGCTGTTTTAGCCGCTGCTTCTAATTCTGCTGCTTCTGCCGCCGCCTCTGCTGCTGGCTAGAATTATTCTGTCTGCCCACCGGAACAGAGCGAGATGGCCTGAGCCGGGCATGGTGAGGCAAGTGGCTGGGCGCAAGTGCAAGCGGGACGGCCAGAGATCCCCACTCTCACTTGCCGCTCTCATTCTCCACGCCGCCTCTCACTATCATCTCTCCACTCTCACTCGCTGCTCCCCAACAGCTGCGCCGCCTTTGCTCTGCTGACGTCTGCTCAGTTTTGAATTTTGAATGTTGATCTTCGTCGTGTTTCAAAACTTTTGTTGGTTTTTTTTTTTTTTTTGGTAATGTCTCTACATGGGGAAAAATATTTCAGGATCTAAGCATCACGTGTACGTTTCTCTTTTTTAATTCTACAAAAAGCATTCCCCTAAACTAGACCTTTCGCTTTTAATTTAAATATTAGTTTAAAAAAATTGTTAGATATTTCTCAGTGTACTTGTGCTGGTTGTTGGTGTTGTTCTTTCTTTGAGCAAATGTGAATGTGAATATGAATGCGATTGCGAATGAGTTCGCTCGCTAATTGTCCGCCTGTTGCAATTTCTCCTTTAGGCCAAGCGAGTGCAATTAGTGCGGCTGCCCGACGTCTGAGGCGCGTCAAATTTGAAACTCGTCACTTTCCGTACTTCTGCTCTTTGGACACATAGAATCTCCTTTCTCCCACCTCTCCACTCCGTACTCCCCAGGGCAACCCCACGCATACTCCAAGCTATTTTTGGGCATACGCCGTACAACAATAGCCCAGAATAGAGACGCAGCAATAAAGAGTAAATGGAGAGAGACATACTTATTGTTGATTTCGAGTGGAGTTATTTCTGACTCTTAACTAACTGCAAGTATTAAAACATATTTCAAATATACTTAGTTCTAGATAATAACACTAGCAAAACTACAAAATTGCGTATACGACTAGATGTACTGTAAATAGAAAAAATTGGTTTATTAAGATCCAAATTATCCAGTATCCGTTATCCATTAACAAAAATTGCTTAAATTTTTATTTAGTTTTCTAGAAAATAAGATTAAAAAAAAAACTGCTTTATGGGTTATAATATTACGTATACGACTTATTGTACAGTTATTGCAAAATAGGAATAGATATGGGACAAAATAATAATCCATCAGCTCAAAAATTAAATCAAAGACATTAATATTTAAAAACAAAGATATTTTACAGTATAATTTTTTAAATAAATATTTATAAATGAAAACAAGTTAATATATGGCGATATCTTTGTGTTTCAATTTAATACATACATCAATATCCTTCATAAAGACCTGTTTATTATTCAATAATTTCACCATCCATTGTTATTTACTCATTTTTCCAACAACGTCATGTCCAATAGACCCCTTTCGCCCGCTGCTACCCCGTGTAAGCAAACAACTCTGAATCGGTCAGAATATATTGGGCCGATCCGGCTGGCCATTTGGCCGGGCGGCATTTGGCGTTGTCTATTCCTTTATTCCTTTTTTTTTCATTTTGCCATTTCTTGCTTTTTTTTTTTGGTTTTTGCTCTTAGTCTTTATTTTCTTTTGGCGTTGCCGGCGTTCGACAGCTGAGCGGAGGCAGTGCATCGGATGGGATCCATCCACCATCGTAATAGTGCGGACCATCTGTCCTTTTTTTTTTGACAGAAATGTATTCTTCAATAAATTTATATTTCTAGTTTTGGACTAATACAAATACAGAATAAAATTAGAGAAAATTCTAGCAATATTTATTAAAAACGTACTTATATTCATAAGAAATAATAGGAAAATGTGACTGTCAATGTCGTTATTAACTTAAACTTTAAATACAAATGTATACTTAAATATAATATAATATTTTGTTTCTTTTCCTTTTATTTTCCTTTATGGATTTTTCCTTATTAGTTTCTGGATCCTTCCTGTTTTTAATAAAGTCTCTTGCCATCACTATATCACGTCAATCGATGCCCATACAGGGTGCCCTGAGGGGCATCTGTCGGTGTAAAGATCTCAAGTGATTTTGGCCTCTGCCTTCTGTCCGATTTCTGACTTTGTGCTGATTCTGATTTAGATTTTGATTAGCAAACGTCTTCAATTGCTGGCATTAGGTATTAGGGGTTCTTGATTTGACAGCGAATTGCGGACTTCCTGTATCGCAACGCGACTGCAAGATATATGAAAGACAAGTGTTTCGAGAAAAAACGCAATCCCCCCACAGAATGGTATATATTCCCCGGCGATCGCTGTGTAAACAAAGCGCCAAGCACACGCAAGACAAAATATATTCTAAAATTAATTTTCGAAAATGTCTTTTCAGCTCAGAGCAAACGCAGCGACATGATGCGGGACAAATGCCTGTATATAGATCCATCCAATGGATGTGTCTCTGATGAGCAAATGCAATTATGTGGCATAGCCAGGAGGGGTGGTGCTGGTGGATGCTGGGGGAATGTCAGGGGGAGGACTGCAGGAGGACTGAGAAGCCGGGTAATGAATAGAGTCACGAAATGGAGCAAGACCTTTCATTTTCCTCCTCTTGCATCGCAATGAGTGTGTTTGCATGTGGAAAACCACGATGATGACAGAGGAAGCCGCACAGAGAAAGCCAAAGGATAACATGAGATAATACAGGAGCCATACTAGCAAAGATACAGCAGGGCCTAGGAAAATATGTATTCTTAGTAAGTTTAAAGCTGAATTTATACTGCAACTATAATTTTAAATCTTTACTTCATGCATCTGCGTAAAGTTTACTATATTAAAATATCCTTTTATCGATAAATTCCATCCTCACAATATTTAAAATGTTAAAGTCTCCCTTTTGGTAAATATTTTTCATAAGGATGGCTATAATTTTTGCGCCATCTGTTGATGCACGCATACGGACGTCCCATAGCAGCTGCTCGTGATCCTTTCTGGCGTCGAGAAATCAACGCTCAAATATGATTAATAAGTAATTTCTTTGTCAACATCCGATGGAAGGGAACTGAGGGGATGGCTGGCATGACGACAGCGGCGATAACGAGAACGACAACGAGAACGGCAACGACGCCATGGAAATCTTTAATAAAATACATGCATAAATAAATTATAGGGCGAGGAAAACAAACCGGAGCAAGATGAACTGCGCCGGAATGAAAACGGAGGCGAACGGGTAATAAAACAAAGCGACAACGGCGGGGATACAAAGATGCGGGCACCATGGGGTTAAGGAGGATAAAAGAGGGGATATTGTGTGCAAGAGGGAGCAGAGCATGACCGCACTTCCATTTTCCCCACCCCACTTTTGCCGGCAGCTCCTTGGCCTTGTCGCTTCCCTGTTTATTTCACAGTTGTAAATTGCACAAAGTAAATGAAGTACTTTTTATTATAAGCCAACAAGCTAACGTGGCCTCCCTTGTACACAGACAAGAATATATATTAGGGAACTTACTGCAAGTAAAAGTAAGATAAAGAAGTTGAATTTAAAGATAATTTGGTATATAAGAAAGGGAAAATATATCTTAAAATATATATATATACCTTTTCTTTCAGTGAACCCTTCCCCCCTTGCTTTCCCCTCACCGTTGTTCTTTGAATGCGCTGTCGTTTTGCCAAGTGTCGTTGACTCGCGCTGACCTAGAGGGAAAATAAAGGCAGTGGAAAGGCCAGGGGGATGAGGAAAACGCAGCCCCGACTCCCATGCCAAGATTCATGTGTGTTTGTGTAGAACACAAAGATAATTCTGGGAAATGAAGAAAAGTTTTCGCTTCAGTCTCGATTTTCTCCGGCATGCAAAAAAGCGGAAGGCCCGAAAACGATTTCTGTCAACTTATGGAGAATTTTCATTGCCTGCCTGTCCATTAATTGAGCTGTCCAAGGGAGTGGGGTGGGAATATAGGGGGGAGGGTGAATGGAAAATGGGGAAAATGTGTAAAAGCAGCTGGCAATCGAGCATTGAAAAGTTCAGATTGCTTGCGCACCCACGAACACACACACTCGCCTGCTCATACTCAGCCACTCGAGTTGTTTGACTTGCGATTTTCCTTTTAAGTCGAGCGAAATGCAGTTAGCAGCAGCCGGGAAATGAAGGAGAAGACACAGACGCACACACAGCAGTTGCAGGGGAAACTAAAACGGAAACTGCAAATACGAGAGATTTCGCACAGCATACTTTTAGGTGAAGCTTGCCGGCAGGAAGCATCGGAATGTCCCTGATCTGGTAGCCAGCCCTGGTGTGGTATGCATAAATCTGCAGCACTGTTGGCTAAAGAATCTTTCGAAGCACTGTCTCTCGTTGCCTTCTCCGGCACAGGCCCCGCACACCACACCATACACCACCGCATTCACACACTCCCACAGAGAATGAGCAATTTCCCAGCAATTCTTTGGCCACTGCCAATGTTTGCCCTCGCAAGTATGCTGCGCAAAATATGTTCGCTTATCAGGATCCAAGTGGCTGCCGCCACTCACCACAGTCAGTGCACTGAGAGAAAAGGGAAGTGAGTATTAGAAATTATATAAGTCCGAAATAATCTTGGATGATTTTCATTAAATAGCAAATTCAAAAATACAATGGTTTAGGTTTTAAATTGGAAATAATTGTAATTGAAATTGGAATTGTATTTGTAATTTTTTTGTTTAAGATTTCAGACTCTAGGTCCACTTTTAGGCACACATTCAATTGATTTCAAATCCATGGCCGTTTTTATGGTTCCCATGTAAGTAATAAATACTACAATTTATGTGAAAAAAATTAAAAAAAAAATCTTTGGTGAATCTCCAACGCTTTTAGAAAGTTTTAAAATTTCTAAAAATACTATGAACACTGCACTGAAAAAAATGACAGTTGAAAATACAATTATAATTATTAATATTTTTAAAACTATTTACTATTATAATATTTAAAAGCTAAACCAATAAATATAATACATTTTTTTCCTTATTTTCAAAGCTTACAATCTTAGTGGAAAATTAAAAGCGGAATGGAGGAGAACATTGCAATTTCTGTGGCCAAAGGGGGTTTTATCAGCGGCTGCAGGCCCCTGAAGCCAAGCCAAGCCAAGTGAGCGGGTTGCTCCGGAATAGTTGGCCAAGTATCTGTTGTATCTATATCTGCGACCAGCAACTGTATCTGTATCTGCAGCCTTGCTGCGGGCTGTGCGGACAGTAAACAGTCGAAGCAGAAATGGAAATAAATAGTTGCCCTGCTCTTTTGTCTAATTAAAACGTTTCATTTCGTTCCAGCTCCATTTGTTGACGTCACACGCACAGCACAGTGTGTGTGTGTGGGTGTGTGTGTGAGAGTGTGCTCTTTGTGAGAGTGTGTGCGTTGGCAACCGTTAGGTGAAGGATGCACGAATATATCAAGGGCCAGCAAAGGATCTTTTGGGTCAGATTGGTGAATGCAAAAGCCAAATTTAATTTAAAATTAAATATATATATAAGAAATAGTTTTTAAAATTTATTTATAACTTTATTAAACATTTAAGGGATTCTAAAGTATTTTGTTTTTTATCTTTTGAAAATTTGTATATTTTAGGGAGACCCACATTTCATTGGCATTTTCAATATTTTTATATTATTTCTAAAACTATTTATACCAGATATCTTTTAGTCGATAAATTCCAAACTTACATTTCCGTAACTATTCACTTTTCCCCTCTCTTGCCCTCCATTCCGCTGTGTGCGTGACAGACAAACGCACGGGCGCACTTTTCTACTTTTCCACTTGGCCCCCCCCCCCTGCCCGCCAACAAGGGGAAAATGCCCCATCGTTAGCTGGTCAAACGGTTTCGTCTTCATTTGGTTCTGGCCCCTAGTTCCCGCTTCTGGTTTTTGGCCATGTTTTCCGTACTTACATACTCCTGTGCTGGGTCCTGGCTTCGCCATTATGATGATTTATGAACGGAAATCATTTTTCGTTGGCCAGAGAGTTGGGCGTTTTTTGTGGGTTTTTCCGAGTGGGAAAACTCACCCTATATAGGGGTGTGTGGGCGGTATTCGGTATTTGGTCTATATAGGCCACTCTGCCCGCAAATATGCAACAGTTTTCCAATTTCCCTTCACAGTCGGCTGCCTCTTTTAATTTGAAAACCAATGCTCAATGCTGCTTTTTGGGCTCGAAGTTCGATTTGACTTCATTGGCGGAAAAGTTTTGGCCGAGCAGCTGCTGGCCACAGATTGATGAGTTTGCTTTCTTTCTTTTTTTTCCGGGGTGGCGAATTAATTTCCCTTTAACAAAATCCTGAAACTTTGATAGCCAGCGTATAGACGAGAAAATAAACTCGTTTTTGAGTGGGGCAAGTGGAAGCAACAAGTGGCAGATATGTTGGCATAAGTTGGTGTTTTTATGGCAGTGGTTTTATGGCAAAAGCTTTTTCTGTAAAAAGTTTTCAAGTGAATAATCGGGACAGAAACCGAATGTTAAAATAGCTTAAAAGGCTTTCATTAACCCAAGAAAATTCGTGTATTTATTTTTTTTAACAAATTTTTAGTTAGCCTTTAGAAAAATTATTGATACAACCATAAACATATTAGAATATTCTTCTAAAACGAAATATTTTAAGTAAAGTTTATCAAGAAAGAATCTTTATAATAATAAAAATGTAATAGCTGTATGTTGCTTTTTTTTTTTAGTTTTAAGAGCTTAATAATGGCAAATTGTTATAATTTTTATAATATTTGCCGGCTTTTTTAGCTAAAGGGTTCAAAAAACCCCCTCTGAGTCAACTTCACAGGTGACACATCTCAAGCTGAGCCTCTCAGAAATTCCCCGATCAACCTGTTCTTCTTCCAATAAAAACCAAGTTTAAAGCTATCAAAAAGCTCTCTTGAAACTGGGGATTGGGAGGCTGTGAATGCTTTGCGAGAAACGGAACTTTTCCAAGCTCTTCCAGTGCGTGAAGCCGAAGTGGAAATACAACCGAATCGCGTTTCTCTCTGTTGCGACGCTGGCAGTTCGACTTGCGACGCGCTGCCAGAAACATCGTGAGCACCTCAAAATCAAAACCAAAGTAAATACCCTGTGGGAAAGTCTAAATATATACCCAGAGAGAGAGGGGGAGTATGTGTGAGAGAGAGAGTTCTGAGCCAAGTTTAAGTTTTGAGCGGGCGCTGTAATAAACAAAACAATAGTTCAACAGTTTGCTACTTTATCTCAAGTGTTAACAAAGAAAACGCCGAAACCTCCAAAGGAAAACAACAACAAGTGAAAGTGAAACCGCAGCAAAGCAAACGAAAAACAAAATAAAAAAAAAAACCTAAAAACCAAAACAAAACCAGATCTTTTCCAGCTGATTACTAAGCGATTTCAGTTTTGTGCATTTGTGATTATATATTTTTAGCAGCTAAGTGTTCCAAATCGAAGGTCACGCGATCCCCTCTTAGTTTGCCTTCATTTTTAAAGCAATTATAGCTTTAAAAATATAAAATATCAAGGAATAATAAAGCATATGAATTACTTAATTCATTAATAAATTATAAACCAAAAACTGCTTTTGGTGATAAGAGATTAAGTGGCTTGCTCTGTGTATTTTTAATGAAATTATTATTAAATCTGAAACAAAAAATGAAATAAATAATTAAAAGTGTATTTTGCTACCTAATAAATTAAACACATAATTTTGAAATAAAATTACCGAAAAATAACTCCCCTAAATAATAAATATAAATACAAACCTACCCAAGGCTTGACCTAGTTATTTTTGGTGCACTTTAAAAACAATTTGGAAAAAGATTAATACAAAAAATAATGACAATAATATGCCTTAAAAATATATGAAAATAACAAAAGAAAAAGATAAAAGGATTTTGTTAAAATTAATTTATTTTATTAACAAAAGAGATATTATTGTTTAATTGGTATAATTTATGCAAATTTGAAGGGAAATCTTGTAAATTGATAAATTTTGTTTAGCTTCAAAACAATAAAATTAATTACCACCCCTAAACCTGTGCAAAAAACTCCTTTTTTTTTATATAGAACTTATATATAGACATATTCCCGACTGATCCCAGGAGAGCAAACTGACGCAATGAGCGCCGTGGATGCCATAATCAATTACAAGCGCAGTCCCAACGAGGACTTTTACGCTCTGCTCCATTGCGACGAGACCTCGTCGGTAGGTATACCACTAATTATCCAGAAAAATCCTTTCATTGTCTACCGAAAATCCATGACCACCCACTATCATTTTACCGCCCCTTTCCGAGAGGGAGAGAGAGCTCTCCCAAGGTCACCACTTCGCCCATTTAACTTTGCTGCGAATTAAATTTGGAGCTAATCGAGTTGCGGCCTTCAAAAAATTGACACTAATGGAATTTGGGGATTTTGGGTTTACAGTTTTTTTTAGGTGACAAACGAGATGAGGTGCCTTAATTGTTTAGCTTCTAAATAAGACTTAAGTGGAAAGAATCTACTAAAGGTTGATTTAAGCAACATGAACCTTTTCCATAAATCTATAAAAAACCGCATAAAACACAAGGGGGAGAGTCTGTCACTGAGGGAAAATAGTATTGAATTCAATGAATATAGTTTATGTTTTGAAAATTAGCTTTGTTTCAAATTATTTCAGAGAAATAGTGTTCTGTTTCCTATTCATCTATATCTAGGATTGTATTTTTAAATGTTAAAGCAAATTTATATTTTTAAACTAGTACTTGTTTCTCACAGTTTCTTTCTAGAGGCGAAAGAGGTTTGCTTTGAGAATTAGTTTCAATTACCCAGTCAGGCATCGTAGATTGGCAGAATTGGCGTTGATCCGACGCTGCCGAGATGCAGTGCCGCCACCTTATGATAGCTGCAGCGCTTTCAATTCAAGTTCGTGGGCGGAAGGAGGACTCACAACCAAGTCAAAAACCAAGTCAGAGCCCAAGAATCCAGAGCCTAAGCCAGGCAATTGTTGGGTATTCCCCCCTACTCCCTGTCAGGGGGGAATTAACGAGCTCGGTTTGGCAGGCAATCTCGGGACGGCTTAATGGCATTTACCCATCAGCAGGCAGTCTCCGAGTCTCACGAGTCGTGAGTCCCTCGTCCCGACATTCATCTTGAGTTGTCACATTTTTGGGATCAGTGGCTGTCTCTATGGCAGGTGGGAAAATCCTGCTGTAATCAAATTTATTGGCCCGGAAAATGTTGGGAGCACCAGGACAAGGCAGACAATTTGGCGAGCTGTCGATTGCATCAGGCTGAGTGCGGAATTCTATTGAATTATGCAGGAGTAGGAGGACGTCTTGGCTCCTACGTCCTGCAAATCGATTTTGCTTGGGCATGTAAACATAATCAAATATTTACCCCAAGAGACTCGGGAAGGGATATATGCTAAGCATTATGACCGAGCCCTGATCACGTAGTTGCCCGGGGAGCTGGCATCCCTGAGCTCTGACTCTGACCCCATCATCCCTGAACTGAACCGTCTCTCCATGGCCGGCAATTATCTCGACTACTTGAGAAGGCAGCTCAGTCATTCCCATTCTCATGCAGATTAGTTGGCAGTTGTTCTCGGAGCTGAATTTGCATACGCAAGCCAAACAATCCAACTAAAGCAACTAGAGCTGGGCAGACTTCAAATGTTTTCGGGACTAATTTGCACAGATCTCATCAGATGCGATTCTGGGCCATTTTAATTGGCCGGGTGCAATCCGATGGGGGAATTAATTAATCGAGTGGAAATTGAAAATTGGTTCGATGGTGCAACTGCAATGCCAATTAATTGCTTCCATTGGATTGTATAACGCCAGTGGGTGTGATGTCAGTTGATGAAGGCAATAAATGGGTGAAATCAGAGGATAAATTTAAGTCTGGTTTGTAGTATAAACGAGGGAAATATAACTATAAATGTTACATTTTAAATTTCGAATGGAAGAAGGTTATCCATTGTTTTCTTAGATAAATATATAAATTCTTTAACTCTATTCAATATGTAAATAGATCTTAAAAGAACACATTAACGCCTACCTTTGTAATTAATTTTACCGCAGTTCCTAATTAAATATTCAATTTATGATAATTCCCAAAGTAAGCAAGAATCACGCTCTTATTCCATTAAGGATATCCACAGGAACAGGAACATAAAAACCCTCGAATGCGTGTAGAACAGATTCCATTTCTCTAATTATAGGAACACATTGTGTGTGTGTGGGTGTTTTCAGGTGAGTGGGATTTGTGCTCCCCTCATGCTTTCTCATTTGCTGCTGCAGCGGCTGCTTTGGCCGCGTACACGCTGTCGTATGAGTAATATTAATTGCTTTGAAATTAATTATACGCCCCGTTGCAGCAGGGTTAGCACCGCAAATGAAGCTGCTGCTGCTGCGAGCACGGCGCAATGAATGCAAGTAATCCACTTTGTATTTCTGGAAGACCTGGCAGCGCAGCCCAGAAAAATAAACGGAGGAAAATACATGAAATTCTTGCAACATCAAAGGAACACGTTTTAGAAAATGTCACACAGGGAAAAATAATAATAAAGTCTGGTTCGTTGTTCAAATTTTATTTTAAATTCAATTCTAGATTAAAAATATTATAAATATATACGAATATTATAATTATTTATTGAGGCAGAAATCTATTTTTCATGAGTAACCATGCCATTTCTGATCAAGTTTTTTCTCGGTCACCGTTGACCTAAATATGTTTGCTCCACGGCAGCTGTTGCTTTTTGACGTTTCCCCTTTGAACAATGGACTCGCCAAACGAATAGAATAAAATGGAGCCCATGCTGGTCAGTGCCTCCTGCTCTCTGCGGCTGCCTGCGTCCTTTGTGCGTCGACCGATGGTGCGCGAAAAGCCATTTCCATTTACAAGACAATAAACAAGCGGCTATTGTACAGTGGCAGCCACCGCACATCATTGCTCCCATCGCCATTGCCTCCATCATGGCCATCATTGTCATCTCCGGTCTCGTCCCGGGAACAGACCAAACTCAGATCGTCGCTGACGGCTGTCAACTTGTTGCTCCGGCCGAAAGGCACTCGGGCTTAATTAATTTCAATTGTTTGCCAAGTGTCAAGGACAGCGTCGAGTGAATTAATTTGGCAACATCATTCTAAACCCTCAAAGTTTTCACTTTTCTCGTGCAAGTTTTCACTTTTCTGTTGGTTAGTTTTTTGCCTTGCACAGTGGTTAGAAGTAAAGGTTGTTTAAAAATGTATTAAAAAGGTTTGGTAATATTTTTCAAGATTAAAACTAGACAAGGATTAACTTTACCAAACGTTGGATACTCTTTATTTATGATCTCTCCTGAAGAAACGTATAAATTGTAAGTAAGCTTGTTCAATATTTTCTTATTTTTCAACTGTAAAAATTGAGTTATTCTGACAGCTTAGCACCGACACCACTGCTCCTCGCCGCAATACAGCCAAAGAACGACAGCTTTTCTATTACTTTAAGTGGTACTCAACTGCGCACGAACGTCAGGTTTTAATGTTTGCTTATTGTTATTTTGTTATTCGCTCGGGATGTTGGTTGATGGGGAAAAGGAGGTGCTGTCATGATATCCTTGCCAGCTTGAGTTGCCTCCAATTTGCGGAGAGAAGCGTCTGCAGACGACAGGCTTTACCTAGAGTTGCGGTCTCCTCCCTCTGAAACAATATATATGTCTTGTTTGTCCCGTAAAAGAGCATTTTAAAAATTCATGCCACAAAATACTTAGTTAATTTGGCGGGCAAAGAGAATTCATCATCGCAATTCACTTAACTTGGCCAACTAATTTTCCTTTTTTTTTTTTTTGCCTGCCACTTTTCATCTCTCTTGTTTCTTGCAGCTCGAGCAGATCCAGGCCGAGTATAAGGTCCTGGCCCTTCAGTATCATCCCGACAAGAACAGCGGCGACAAGGAGGCGGAGGCCAAGTTCCAGCAGCTAAAGGTGAGCTAAAAGCAATGAAAAAGCAGGGGAAACACGACCAAAAAGATCCAAGGGAAAAACAGGGTCCGAGATATAAAGAAAAGGCAAGCGTTTCGGCATTTTACATATTTAATGAAGTTTCCCGATGGGTGGCAGCTGGGGGCGTGGTGGCGGGGGGTCGATTGTAAATTTGACAGCCTGTGGGGCAATATGTTCGAGATGAAAGTTAACGGAGCTGTCTTAAAATTAAAAGACGTTTTAAACCTGATACTTATTCAGCTTAAAAGTTCTCTGGCAGGAGGAGGGAAACACTTACCTCCAGGCGGAATATATATCTCTGATATGTGAGAAGGATAAAAAGATAATTATCACAGGCACACACAATTGTCTTTTACGGAAATTTGAATGTAAGCTGCTTTCTGATTCACAGAAAAAACAAGATTGTGTCTAATTTACATCTAGATTAAAATGGAAATTGTTTTGAAATGCTTTTAGCAGAGGCAGTTGTCAGCAAACTGGATTTATGCAAACAACATTCTGAAAGGGATAATGCCCTAATCATAAAAAAGTCATTAATATGTTTTTACCCAGTAATAATTATTTACATTTAATCCTTGTCAAAATAAGCAATAGCTGTCGAGTCTGCTTGTTTATTTGTCAGTTTAATTTAAATTGAAGAAAAAAGGACTTCGAATCATGTATTTTATATAAAAGTTTTAAGTGAAAAACATATTTCCTAATAGTAATGAAAAATCCTTGTAATTGAAAGGATGGGATAATATAAAAAAGGGATATTTTATATGATAACAAAAGTAGTTTTCATATTAACTAGACTCCATCTTAATTACAAAATGTTTATACTTGAAAACAACCTTTTAAACGTTTTTAATTCAACTTATACAAATACCACAGTTAAATTTTACTATAAGAATTCTTTCTCTTCTTGTTGTTTAATTAAACTCAAGTTCACTTAGGAAAATTCAAGTGAATTCCCGCAAATTTCGAAACAAACAATTGCGTAAATTTGAGTTCAGCAAAAGTTTGTCTACTTTTCAAGGCCACTGAAATGGTTTCTGTTCGCGTTTAGTTCGAGTTGCAAACTTTATTGTTTCTTATCTCAATAAGTTAGTTTGATTTTGCCAAGAGCCTTCAGAGTCTCTCGATAGTTGCCATAATTAGCTGGCAACCCACTCAACCGAAAGCATCCATTCAGATTTCTGTCTGTCAGTTGCTAAAAGTTATACCCTACATTTTTCCTATACCTCTTTTTTTTTGTAATATTAAACAATACCCTCTGCACACACACACACACACATGTGCACTTAACCCACTTACATACACGCACCCCGGCCTCAAATTGAATTTTCCGTGCGACAAAGGAAAAACAAGGCGGCAATGATGAGATAAAATAAATTACCCATACAAAAAATATATTTTTTGAAAACGTTTATTGATTTTCCCCATGTCAAAGCCATTGGAGGGCGGGGGAAAAGGCGTGGCAGGACCTGACAACTCATTAATGTGTGTGTGTGTGTGGCTAAAAACAAAATCAAATTGATGAGTCGAGTCGGGATGCCAGAGGTAAAAGCAAGTGTGCGTCTGGTTAGGGGTTGATTTACCTCGACGATTGCTCATAGGAAATATGACAATAAAATTAGAATTTTTGGGAGGAAAGGTAACTTGATTATAATGGTTTTTAGCGTAGATAATAAGTGCCATTAGCTGCAGATTTTTTAATATTTTGGGAATTTAATTTACACTTGATTAAATGGCACAAGATGCTGTATAAAATTACAAAGCTTGTTTATTAAATTTCTGGAAATTCTTAAATCATTACTGAAGGTTCCAAAAAATCTAAAGTTCTTTTGTTAAACCAATAAAAATGTTATAAAAAAAAACTTAGAAACATTAGCATACTTCTCCTAAGACTTTAAAGGTTTTTCATAAACACACAAACTGATTTTTAAAGCGTTTCTCAGAAATTACTCCCCAAACCTATCGAAGTATCCTTCAGTTCATTGAAATTCCCCCAAGGTTGTTGTTATGCCATATTTTCTTTTCACTTTTCCCATTCCGCGAATTTTAAAACATACTGAAATAACAAAACCGAAAATTAAGGAGCGAATGGAGGCCCTCGTCCTTGAATATGCAAGAGGGTCGCAATCATTCATGCGCCTGTTCAGGAGCTCGCCACGGACGAGGAGCTGTCCGGTGGAGGAGTCGGAGTGCCGTACAATTTACGGCTCGTAAAATTGGACGTGCATGTGTGTGCCGAGCTCGTAAATATGTCCCGGAATAAGCAGGAATATGCGGCACAAGGGAAGCTTACCTTTATGGTTGGCCATAAAACAAAACTGGTGCCTTGTGGTGCCCATGAAGCGTTTAAAATGAAATGTCGAGATTGCTGCAAAAAAAAAGGCCAGAACAGATTCCTAGGGAAATTCCAAAGCATTCCGCACATTTCCCGAAGGAGTATGCAAATGAGGCGGACTTCATCATGAGCCTTCAGTTCGTAGAACCCACAACTAACAGCACAATTTGCAGTTGACAAGCTGCCAAGTCCCCTTCGTGCCTTCAAGAGATCCCGGACGTCTGCCTATCATGGTAATCAAAAGGAGTTTATCCTTTGCTGCCAGGATCGGAATCTGAAATTTCTTTGCTGATTCTTGTCAGAAGCAGAGGAGAGCTCCGGCAGTTGTTAATTGGGCCCGTTAAATATTTTCGGAAGGCAACCAAATGATTGCCCTAATTGAAGACAAACAAGCTGCCGGGCTCCAAGCTTTGGCTCCTTGGTTGAGTATAGAAGAAGGAGTGAGTCCTGTTTGCTGACCCACATAATCAGTGGGTAGTGAAATAATTGATTATCATGTAAACAGGGGCCCGAAAAGCAGCCCCAGAACAATAAAACAGCGGGCCAGTGATGGTGATGGAATCTCGGAGCGTCAATTGTGCATGTGTGTTTATGAGTGGGTGTCTGTCTAGCTGGGTTTTTTACACTGAAAGTAAAATATGTAATCAAGAAGGTACTATAAATATTAGCTGTATAGAGAGAGATAGAAAATATAATCTTATTTCGAAAAATAAATCGATAAATATAAGTAAATAAAATATATATTTTTGAAATGTTTATTCTATATAGATTTCAAGATATATTATAATAAGCGGAATTCATCGTAAATTAGTATAAATATTTTCCCTCAGTGTACGTTTTTATGTTTATTGAACACCCACCAAGCCTGTCGGTGCCTACCGCTGAGTGGGTGTGTTGGGTCTGGCCCTAAAAGTAGTCAAGATACATATCAAAATCACTTGAGCGCACAAATATGTGAGAGCCTCTCCACAGATGAGAGTGTGTGTGTCTGTGTGTGGGTGGGTGGGGGGTGGTGGTGAATGCCAATAAGTGTGCTATAGTAAAGCATAGTATGAAATTGATTAACATGCAGGCTCGACCAGGACGAGGCAAAAATTCAAAAGGAGGGACAGAGGAAAGGAACCTTAGGCATCCGAAACCTGTGCAGCTGTTGATTTTGCACTTGAGCAAATCCCAATCCTGACTTTCATGGGGCTTTTCAGCATTTATAAGATATGTATGTGTGTGTGTGTGTGCATGGGTGTTGAAAATGGGGTTCAGTTGTGTGTGTGTGCCCCTTTCATGTTTAGGCATCGAGGAAAATAGATTAAATTTTGCTCTTCTTTACACACATTCTGTGTTGAAAAATGAGACTTTAGACTGATTTTATTGCAATTTCCACAAAGAAAATATAAAGGAAAGGTACTTTAGAGGTTATATGCCATTGAAGTCAGCATGTAGTTTTTCTGGGAAAATATTTTCCAGCCGTTTAGAGTTCATACTTTTCCCAGAAAGAAAACGAGAGAGAAAACTCCTCAAAAATAAGCTTGTTTTTCAAATATAAAATTCATTTGGTCATTTTCTAGCTTATGTTTTCCTCTTGAAGTGCAAGATGCTTCTCCATTTTGGCAATAAATTTCTAAAATAACATATTTTCCTTCCTCCAGGAGGCCAAGGAGACGCTGTGCGATCCGGAGAAGAGGGCCATCTATGACAAGTGGCGCAACAGCGGCATCTCCATGAGCTACAAACAGTGGCTGGGCATGAAGGAGCATGTCGGTCAGGTGAGAAGATACACGATTGCCGAGAAAGTGGATAAAGAGGTATGCGAACGGGCCGGGAACTCAGCGAACCAGAGAAGTAGTGGTCCATCAGTCAGTCCCCCTTTTTTCACTAATTTTTTATACTCTCACCCCTAGTCCTTCGGGCTCCGATCCTTTTGTTTATACCCCCCTCCGACCCGCTGTCCTTTGCTTTGCCTTCATTTGTTTGTTTGCCTTCGTTGTCCGTGCAGCTAATGAAATTTGTAAGCCAAGCCGGAGTTTGTTTTTGTTGTAGCACAATTAACGCGATTATTCATTAACCGAAAACCCCCTCACTCCATGGCCAAGAGCCCTATGGTAATTTCCGTCGCTGCCCCCAAGCGGAAATTGTCGCCATCCATCAGCGGGCGGACATTGTCCGGCCTTTAAGGAGATTATGAACGCTCCAAATCCGCATTTGCATTTCCAATTTTCAGCTCGGACGCTCACCTGAAAGGTCACGGTGAATGAAAGCTTCTAGATCTCGAAGTTAGGAGCTTGAAATTAATAAAATATGAGGCATAGAAGTATAAACAGGGTCCGAAATGAATGACACTTTAAGTAGTTTCCTAGAGAAAGTATTCCTCAAAGATGAAAAAGTAATGAAAATAAGAAAATATCATACAATGTTTGCTCGAAGATGAACAAATAAACAAATTAAGAAAATAGCATCCAGTATTTTCCAATTGGCAACTTATAAAATTTTGTAGCACACTTAAAACAATTTGTATTTTATTTCCTCCTTTAACCCTTAGAATTTTGATATTTAAACAAATGTAACTTAAGTTTCCAAATTGCTAGCTCCTCTGCAACCATTTCACATATATCTTTGTTGCTTATATTTTTCTCAGTGTTTTTCCATCTCAAGTAGCTTGCATATAACAAAACACACAAATCAAAGAATTTCCCAGAAAATCTCTCTCTATAAGCCCGCTCCTGAGTGCCCGAAGAACTCCACGGAATGTAAACCCCTATTGAATGTGCCTCTTCATCCAACTCTAAGTGTGTGTCCAAATGTGTGTGTGTGTGTGTTTTGCATGCTCAAAGAGGACCAATGCAACCTTGTGAGCTAACTACTCCAACCGGAAAAGCCTTGGTTCTCGTAAACAGCAAAGATTTAATTTAATTAAATGGTTTTCTTAAACTCTACCCCCATAAGTCCATGCACTGGGTTACACCCAAGACCAAGGATCGCATGCTGCCAGAGGCCGGAGGAGCTGGAGGCGCAGGTCCTGGAGCTGGAGCCGGTTCAGGAGCAGGCTGCAGCAGCGGTGGCTTGACCGCAGCCTCGCCCAATCCCGCCCATCGGCGGGCCTCGGAGGGCGGAGCAGCCTTGTACTATGGCAGTCGCAAGGCCGAATGGGGCACCGAGAACACCGATGTGGCCAACAAGTTCCGCAACTACGAGATCTAAGGATCTAAGCAAGTTTCAATTTAAAGAGCACATCCCAAGTCAAACCAGGAGAGGAAGGGGGAGAAAAAAGCTATGCAATTATATCAAAATATTCAGAATTCAGACATTATCGATGTGAACTTAAGCGTTGCGAACTACTGAGCACAGATACTCGGATACACTCGTATTTAGATGTTTATAGGTGTACAAAAAAGATATATATATAAATATATATAGAGAAAAATGGTAATTAACTAACGTATATATATATTTATGACAAAGAAGAAACTGTAATTTCAATAAACAAAACCCTAAAAGCGGAGCGGCAAGAATTTTAAGTTGCAAATATTGCATAATTAGTCAAATTTTAAACGCATAAACACATATATAACATATATATATATTTATGTAATCAGTGTATTTGTATATCGATGTTTCAATGTACCAAAAACATGAATGTACTACCCCCAAGACAATCCCTTGGCCGGGGCTCCCCCGAAAGGGAGCTCCAAACAAACAAAACTAAGCTAACAACTGTAACTGAGCAACTAAACACTAAAAACTTATACTAAACTAGCGACAGTCTAGCCAAATCACCCACCAGCACACGAAACTAGAAAACGACGAGGGGATGATATCCACATTTAAGCGAATTTAAACCTTTATACATTTGCATAGTCAAAAGAAACTTTCACTCGGTGTCCTTTTTAAGCGTGCAACATGAATTGCGAAAAAATCTCCACAACTGAAACTATTTTATCTACCTGAAAAAAATATAATGAAAATCTACAAAAAAAGCGACAAAATATCAAAGAAAGAAATCAAAAAAAAAAAAAAAAGAGAGAAGAAAACAGAAAGAAAATAAATTTATATAAATGTTTTGATGGATAGAGTGGTGAACTTTTCAACGTATATACAGAATAGCAGAGAATTATTGTCATTAATTATATCGTACTATTGAGATATTATGCGCAGAGCAGAGCAAATAATTACTACATAAATGTTGTTGCTGGACTTAAAGGCATTACTTATATATACATTACACATATGAATGTTTGTTTTAAGACATACTATATATTGAATTTATTCAAATACACACATATTGCGGATTGAGCAGACCAGACCCAGAGATCGGATCGGATCGGATCGAGGCATGGGAACAGCTGCAAGCCAAAGGCCAGATGATCCCGTAATCCCCTTTGGGGACCGGGGTCCCAGCTAGTACAACTAAAGTACACAATTAATTAGTGTTGATTCCAACTCAGCTGGCGATTGTTAAGAGAGGAAAATAAAGCAACATTTTGAAAGGGGTTTCCCATTCCTGGGGGAACCTCAGGTATTCAATTTGGTTTATTTTTTAAGAGGTTGAGAGTGGAAAAAGTGGTGAGTATTTATTTTATATTTAAACTTAATCTATAGCTAAAGGGTTATAACCTAAGCTAAGCTAACTCTATTCACTTGAAGCTTGACTATCATTAGCAGCTTCCTTTTCTCGATTTAAAATTTCCATAATCTGAGTCCGGGTGGCCAAGGAATCATCCCAGAGTTCGCAAGGACGAAGATCTGATTGAAAGGCTTCACGGAGCCAGCGATTTTGTACTATAAAATAGAGAAATTTAGTGTTTTTATGAAATGCAGATGTTTTTTAGAACCTCACCCCACTTGGAACCGGTGATTATGGGGCAGGCACCATGTTGGGTGCGCACATCACCCACTCCTGAGGCATGCAAATTGTGCCAAAAGACAGCTAAAAAAGTGGTATATTAATTTATATAAATGTAGTGGAAGGTAAATAAATAAAAGCACTGAAATACCTGAGTATTTTATTGGCTTCAAAAGTTTCTTCAGATACGTAAAGGCAGTCCCGCCACCTTGTGTCACATCGGAGAGCTATGAATGGTATAAAATTTATTGAGATATATTGAAATAATTCAAATTAAATTTAAAATTCCAAAGAATTTCCAAGTATTTTATACTTACATAAAACAGAACAGTAGCAATGCGGTTGCCGTGTTCGGGATTACTGATAATGCCGTTGTTTAACTGTTAAATAATAAAATATTACGACTTTAAATTTCTTTAAAGAGAAGCCGAATATCCTGTAAGTTTATAAAAAATCTCAATATATATCTTACGGTTATATGACTAAACCAGTCATAGTGCTCTCCGTAATGTCCTCCTATGCCGTAGTTGGCAAACTGATGATCCTCCGCGGATTTCATGCTCAAACCAGTCATATCCTCCACTCTCCTGTCTATGGTTTCCAGGACCTTATGCTCAGTCACGGGTATAAAGGAGGTCTGGCTGGTCCTTACATTGGACACTATACTCGAATTTAGACCAGAAACCTCGCCCCGTTTCAAAGTATTTCTGGTCAACTCCTTGATGATATCAATTTCGCTCTGGTAGATCACGTCGTGGTAGTGCACGATGAGTGGGTCGTGGTTGAGCTCCTCCACCTTGAAGGGAGCTATCCAAAGGAAAGGATGTGTCTCCATCATGTAGCCGCAACGCAGGTTTCGCAGCTCACGGGGTTCGGGCTGCCAATGGCCACTGCAGGTGAGGCAAAAGGCCTGGAACGGGGTTACCATATCACCTTCCTTGGGAATGGGCTGTAAATAAATATAAATTTTAAAATATTAAACAAATCTGGATGTACATTTTCTATATACCCACCCCATGCTCTTCAATTATTTTGGACTCATTGAGCGAAACCTTATCGCCTTGGGCCTCCAGGAAGCTTTCATAATTCCGTACATGCTCTTCACTGGCTGGCTGGATTTCCAAAAGCTCCTGGTAGGTCTCATTCATACCCTGGAAGTCACCCAATTCAGCCTTAGCTTGAACTAGCAGAGCCAAGATTTGTGGCATGAGTTCTTTGGACTTTTCTCCGCCAGTCAAGCGGTCACTGGCCTCCAGCAGCCAGGAGTGTGCCAGTCTAGGATGCTGATCCCTCAGGGCCAATCGAGCTATGTCTAAGCAGTGCTCGGAATCCAACTGGGTGCTAGGGAGGGTAAGAAGCTGAGTTTAGATTGTCTTGGAGAAATGCTTTCTACAATTACCCATAATCCACGCCATCTAGGATGCCATTGGCTAGATCCTTGGTCTTTAGCCTGTATACAAACTGCAGACGCAGGATACCATCGAGAGCTCCCTCCAGATCACCTTTGCCGGGCATCCAATTGCCATTTCTTAGCTTCTGGAGGCGACTTAAAGGTTCTGTGGAGATAAATGTAGACAATTTTGGTTAGTACATTACAAAGATAGTAGGGTAAGGTAACCCACTTTCTCCAGTAGACGCCTCCATTAGGTTCTCCACCCTCTGCCAATCCACGGTCAAGCGCTTGTTGAGCAAATATTTGTTTACCGGACTATCGAAGTACGCTGGACCCCACTCACGAGCCTCGTTGCGTTCACTCTCAAAGTCCCGGAGGGTTCTATAGAAAGCAATAAAACTCATTAGGTTATTTTATTAGATATCACACAACTTACTCTTTCAGAAAATCCAACTTCCGCTGGTTGTCATTAAGGAATCTCTGCATTTGCTGGAGCATTTTCTGTTCGTAGCCAAAGACCTTTGTCATCTCGTGTATCGACGAGAAGAACTCGGCCCCAGAAGCGGCTCTGAGGCCAAGTTGGAGCATTAAAACTAAAAACCATTGGCCCGGGAACATTTTTCCGACTGAGATCTGCTCTCGAGAGCTTTGAAATTACGACTGATCCCGCCATTTGACCCCTCAGAACATCACATTAGCCTAAGCTTATGGAAGTCAGGGGTTCTTGTGCTAACAGAAACCAGTTCTTGCACGCACCCAAAGAAAGTCCATACGCCGGGTTTATTATGCCGGCAACTGGTTTTTGCCTTGATAAAGAAAAATGTTTTGTTAAAAATTAATATGGGTAAAAGCTAACGCTACAAAATAGCTTTAAAATTGAAATTACAGCTAATAATTAAATTAGTAACACAGAGTGGAACTAATTTCTACAATGTATAAATGTAATTAGCCAGCAAGTTGTATTTGCCTTTTTAGTTTAGATTTTCTAGTGGTATAAAATGAACACATTACTCCTACTGTTCATGATCCTATTCTCCCTCAGCTCGATCCTGGGACAAGGGTTCGAAAATGACACTCGCAAACGCTTATCATGGTCTGTGGCCAATATGGATGAACTGCTTAAGTTGGAGGAAGAACTAGCTCTCAATCTGGAACATTATACAAATGAGCTTATTAAAAAATATAATACTATTTCGTGGTGAGTTAAGAAGATACTTGCCCTGGAATACTGTACCAGCTGTATAAGCCTTAAAGGGGTATAAGCATGATGGATGTGAGACACGTTTTCCAGTCGGAGATGGGACCGAAAAAGTTCTGGGAGAATCCCCTGAACAGTTACTCCCTCATTCGGCACATGGAGTCAGACTGGCATATGTGGCAGTTATATATGGAGAAGCCTGTGGGTCTGGGTTGGTATTACCTTTCTAAAGATTATTTCAGAAGCTGAAGTTACTTTGCAGAACAACTAGCTTTTCTGGAGTCTAAGAAACCCACAATGCCCCAATACCATGACTTTTATGACGCTGCTGAAGGGCTTAGAAGAACCCAATGGACTTACGATCTGTTGGCACAGGACATTTCTCAGGGTTTGCTAGATGGAGTGCAGTACAAGTAGGTGTTATAACAATTATCCTTACGGAATATCCTTTAAGAGAGTCTATATTCAGCTCCTCGCTGACAGCTCTCGATTGCTTTGACTTGGTTCAGCACCTCATCAATGGATCGCGCTGGTCAATTGCAATGCAATGGATTGAAGCAACTAAACTTGCTTTGGACAGGTCAGACCCTCAACCGGCGATTCAAATGCTGAGAGGAATAACGCCAGCGCTACTCTACAAAACTCTGGCAAAGGCTCAAGTGGAACAGGGTGAGTAAACAGGGAAACCGATTCTCAGAGATTTCTATTAAATAAGTTTTCATTTAGGAGAAGTGGACAAAGCCCTGAAGGCATACCAGCTTGCTTTAATCTACTCTCCCAAGGATGCGGAACTCAGGCAGGAGTTTTTCGATTTGGAACTAAAATCTTTAATAATGCCTGGAAACCATTCCGTAAAACCCGAGCAGAAGGATGACGGCGAGGACATCAAGTTGCCCTTCTGCTGCAGTGGCCAGTGTGACCTCCCCTCAAAGCTTCAGCTGTACTGTTGGTGGAACACCCAATCGCATCCCTTCCTTCGCCTGGCTCCCATCAAAACAGAGTTCTTGTCACTTGATCCCCATGTGGTCCTCCTCCATGATGTGGTTTCTGCGGCAGAGCGCACCCGTTTTCAAACGACTAGCAAAAAGGATCTGCTGCCATCTGGCACGGTCGATATTGAAACGGACACCTTGTTAAACGAACAAGATCGCACTTCCATGTCCCTGTGGTATGATGAGCATCCCAATGATACCAAAAGGCTCAATGTCCTCCTGCAAGATGCTACTGGTTTGGATATGGAATACTCGGAGTCGTACCAGGTTATGAATTATGGAATAGGCGGCCTCTTCGAGACCCACATGGACTCTCTGCTTAAAAATGAAGTAATAAGTACTAATTTAGCTTCAACTCTATGCTAATTGTTATCTTTTCAGGACCGATATAGAGGAATCCCAGATAGACTCGCTACTGTACTCTTTTATGTGAGATTATAGTTTTTGAATGGGGTACATCACCTAATTTGTAATTAATTATATTCCACAGCTGAGCGAAGTTCCGCAGGGTGGTGCCACCGTCTTTCCAGAACTAAATCTCACTGTCTTCCCCCAGCCTGGATCGGCTCTTTTTTGGTATAATACGGATAAAAAAGGCTACCAAAACACACAAACGTTGCATGCTGGATGTCCTGTCATCGTGGGTTCCAAATGGGGTTGGTAAACTCATAGTTGAGATTTGATTTTGGTTTATAAGTTTCTTTTATCCTTGCAGTCATGAGCAAGTGGATCGATGATCTGGGACAGGAGCTAAGAGCACCCTGCAAAGTCAGCGATTAGTTTTAAAAGTAGGGAAACTATGTACCTGAAGCAGAGTGGAAATATTCTAAAGAAATAATAAAATAAAATCTTTAAAAATTGTAATTCTTTTAATTGCTTGGGAAACGCCTTAATGCATAACTAATTACCACAACTATATAATTATATTTATTCAACTGAACACCCCATTTCAGCTTCAAAGTTAGACTAGCTTAGAATGCAGTTTTTTTGCTTTCTACTCGTCCTTATTTATTTTTTTAATCCTTGCCAGGGCCAACTGGTGGAGAACTATAACTTTACCCTGCCTAAGGGCTTTGCCAGATCTGTGATAAACATGGACGAGTTACTTCATTTGGAAGACGATCTAGCTTTCAACTTGGAGCAATACGTGGAAGCCCTGTCCCAGAAAGCCAACACTATACGGATGTGAGTCATTGTCTCAGGACTCCCTAGTATCCTAAATCTTTTAAATCCTCTCAAAGGGGAATCCAAGAGATGACGACCAGATACGAAGAGAGAATAGAGCCTGAACTAAATCCCGCTTGGAACCCCTTCAATTCTTACTCCCTCATCCGACACATGCAGGCGGACTGGATGATGTGGCAGCTGTATATGGAGAAGCCTGCGGGTCAGGGTTAGTATAGCCATAGAGTACCTTCTAGCATCGGTTAATTCCTTCCTCTCAGAGAATCTTGATTCACTCAACTCTAAGATGCTGGAGCTGCCGGAGCACAGTGACTTGAAAGATGCTGCTGAAGGAATCCGGAGGGCTCAAAAAATATACAATATGTCAGCCAGTGATGTAGCTAAAGGATTGCTTGATGGTGTACAGTACAAGTAGGTGATAATGGAGAATATCTTCGCTACTTAAAAATTAAAACTGAAAAATATATTCTACAAGTGCCTCGCTAACAGCTCGAGACTGTCTGGAAATGGGCCGTTATCTCATGAATCAAACGCGCTGGATCAAGGCCAAGGAGTGGATTACAGCTGGTATGCAGGCATTGACACGGATAGATGACCATCAGCCGGAGCTGCAAGAGTTAACGGGAACCAGCAAAGTGGAACTGCTCACGACTCTGGGCCAAGTTCTGGTCAAGTTGAGTAGGTGAAAAAGGCAACTACTTAGCCAAAGATCTTAAACCTTTCCCTTCAATTATCTAGATATGTCAGAGGCAGCCTTGCAAGCCTATCAAGCTGCCTTGAAGGAATCTCCCTACGATGCCAAGTTATTGCAGGAGTTTCGCCTGGCGGAGACGGAGCTTCTAACTAGGCCAGCGATCCATGATTCCAGTCAGGATGATATTCCGGATGCGCATGACTTGCCCAACTGCTGCAGCGGGCGCTGTGAGTTACCAAGGAAGCTCCGGCTCTACTGCCTGTACAATACCACGGCTTCCTCCTTCTTGCGACTTGCTCCCATCAAAATGGAGATACTCTCCCTCGATCCGTATATCGTGCTCTTCCATGACGTTGTTTCTCCCAGGAAAATGCAACGAATTCGTGCGGAAACCAAGCCGTACCTAATTCCGTCCACTACCTACAACCCCCATTTGAACGCCTACAGAGTTATCAATTCCCGCACATCCAAGTCGGTGTGGCTGGAGTGGGACATGAACAATGACACTAAGGAGCTCACGATCATGTTGGAAGATGCCACTTCACTGAACATAAACAGCTCGGAGATGTTCCAGGTGATGAACTATGGCGTGGGTGGTCTCTTCAACATCCATGCGGACTCCCTACTAACGGACGAGGTGCGTACTAGGTACTAGGTATTTTTGTTTAGAAATGACTAAAGAATCTCTCCCCTAGGAACGTTTCATTGGCCCCGCTGACAGAATAGCCACCGCACTATTCTACGTGGGTATATTGGTTATTTAAAGACAGCAAGTTATTCTGACTTTTTGATATCTTGTTTCTAGCTGAGCGATGTCCCGCAAGGCGGAGGAACTGTCTTCCCATATCTGAACCTCACCGTCTTTCCACAAGCTGGCTCGGTTCTATTCTGGTACAATCTGGATACGAGGGGCAATGAGGATCTATCTACCATACACGGGGGATGTCCCGTCATCGTTGGCTCCAAATGGGGTAAGTGGAGATATTTCTAATGACTTTAAAATATTTATTTCTTACTTTGCAGTCATGAGCAAGTGGATTTACGATATGGGACAGGAGTTTAGGAAGCCCTGCTATGATTTAGGCACTCCTCAAAACAAAGACTTTGGGACTTTTTAATTTATTGCTTTCATTGTCAATTTCTTTTAAATAAAATATTAAATTACATGCTAAAAAGAATATAAAAATTCCAATAAATATATTTTATAAATGATTTTAAAATGCAATCAAGCCTTGCAAGGTGATAATTATTATTAGTTAATATTTTAGTGGGATTATGTAAAGGTATTATTTCATTCCCATAATTATTTTGGACTTCAAGTGTGTATATCTCTTTGTCCGGATGCTCATCTAAGACACCTACTTTTCCATGCCAGAAAAATTCCGAAAAACCGACAACTGTGTCAATATTTACTTAGCTGCACATCTCGCAGACGAGCCGTCACCAAAGGCGGCTGGCTACCCGAAATTCAGAGCAGTAATAAAACAAACTCAGAGTAGAAACCATGTCCCGGTTAAAATTGTTTCTATCAACACTCTGCCTGAGTATATTTTTGACCTCAGTGAATGGTGACTACTACTCGGCCATCAGTGAGCTGGAGCGACTCCTCGATGTGGAGGCTTTCATCATAGAGAAGTTTGATGAATACCTAGAGAGAGCCCAGCAGGAACAGCAGGAAATTAAGAGGTATTAAATAATTGCATATTTTAAATTAAAAGGTTACTTATATAAAATTTCCTCAAAGGTTCCTTTCTCAAGTAGAGGAGCTGCAACAGAATCGAGGTGATCTCGAGGAGTATTTCGGCAATCCTCTCAATGCCTTCACAACCATTCGAAGGATGGTTCACGACTGGAAGTTTAATGTTTTTGATCACATTTTGGAAACAAACAACTTTGAGACCTACAAGACTGCTTTGAGTGAATCTTTGGAGAAGGTAAATTTCAAGGGACCCACAAAGGAAGATTTTAAGGGCGCCACTCGTGGTCTGCTTCGCCTGCAAAAAATCTATCAGCTGCCCACAGCTCAGCTGGCAGATGGATATCTATCTGGGGAAGAGAATCCTTTAAATGCCACCCTTAGTGCCAGTGATTGCCTGGAGGTGGGAAAGAATCTCTGCGAGGTGAAGGAGTATACCTATGGCTCCGAGTGGCTTTTGGAGGCCAGAAAGAGATTCCATGCTGAACCTTTGGACTTTATATCACCAAATGTGAGCGAGGTGGAGATTTTGGAGCACCTCTCGCCCGCCTTCAAAGGTTTGGGCAATCTTAAGCTAGCCCACAAGCTCAACAATGAGATACTGGATAAGGAACACACTCACGAAGAGGCTCTAAAGAGCAGGATTTTCTATGAAACTCAGCTAGCCAGAGAGCGAAGTGGAAAATCTACCAAGCCAGAGGTTGTGCCTCAAATATCGGAGAAGGTAAGGTTATAACTAGCAAACTTCTCCCAACATAAGTTAATTCCTTACTTTACCAGGAACTCAAGGAGAGCTTCCAGCTCTACACCCGCGTGTGTCGCGGTGAACTTCGTCCATCCCCTAGAAAACAGCGTAAACTCAGGTGTTATCTGAGTCACCAGAATGTGTCCTACTATCACCTTTCCCCGTTCAAGATAGAACAACTTAGCCTGGACCCTTATGTGGCCTACATCCATGATGTAATTTCCAAAAGCGAAATGGAACAGATCATGGAGCATGGCAAAGGAAGCATGGAGCGTTCCAGGGTGGGTCAATCGGAGAACGCCACCACCACAGAGATTCGCACCAGTCAGAATACCTGGCTCTGGTACGATGCAAATCCCTGGCTTTCAAAGATTAAGCAGCGCCTGGAGGACATCACAGGACTAAGCACAGAGAGTGCAGAGCCTCTGCAGTTGGTGAACTATGGCATTGGGGGTCAGTACGAGCCGCACTTTGACTTTACGGAGGTGAGTCCAGGGTATGTACTTTTGTAATTAATATTTAATAATATTATTTTTGACAGACTACCAAGGACTGGAAGGGTAATCGCTTGCTGACGGCTCTTTTCTATGTGAGTTTGTGGGCTTTTATTTGAAATATAAATGCATAATATATTTAAAAATTATATGTTTAGCTGAATGATGTTCCCCTGGGTGGTGCCACCGCCTTTCCCTTCCTTCACTTGGCGGTGCCTCCTGTTAAAGGCAGTCTCCTGGTCTGGTATAATCTACATCGTTCCCTGCACAAGGACTACCGCACAAAGCATGCTGGCTGTCCTGTCCTTCAAGGCTCCAAGTGGAGTAAGTAAAACTTATTTACAAATAAATATAAATAAATATTTAAGATTAATTATTTATTTTTCAGTTTGCAACGAGTGGTTCCATGAAGGTGGCCAGGAATTTAAGCGACCCTGCGGTCTCAGCAGCGATGAGGGAAAGTTCAAAGAGTTTGAGGAAAAATAACATGCCTTTGAATTCAATTACTATTGAAAAATATTAAATGTTTTGTACAAATACAGTAACTTAAAATAAGTAAATCTTTGAACCTTTAATATATTGAAACTTGAAACATTTTTCGATTAGTTTTAGCTTTTTGCTCAATTTATTCTAGTAAAATTCTTTCACAAATTCAAATACAAACACAAACATAAAATGCTGTTTTTTGACCTTAGAAATTCACCACACAAGTCAGAGAATATACATATGCTTATACCATATATTAGATAATATAAAAGACCTCTATTTTGTAATCGATTGACTAAAAAACCAGCTTTACAACTTTCTTCACATTAATTAACCTCTAGCCTCTTTTGCACCTCAGCTTCCAGGTCCACGATTCTAGGCCTCAGTTCAGCATCAACAACCAAGCCGGACAGTCGAAGATTCTCCGTTCAAACATTTAAATAAAAAATAATTTCTAGTCATTGACCTGAGTGAAAAAAAAAACCAAAGAAGAGACATCTTAGTAATTATGCAAATGACCAAGCTTGCCGGCTTCTTATGGCTCCTCCAGTTGCTGCTTCTGTGTTCTTTCGCTGGAGCTCATTCGGCGAGGGGAGAAGAGCAACTGGAGGCTCTGCTGGACACGGAGACTCAACTCATCAATGAGTTGCGTGACTACATAGAGCGAATGGAGCTTCAGCTGGAGGAGATTCGCAAAGAGACCGCAGAGATCGAGGAGATTCACAGCCAGGTGGCTGCTGATAATGTGGAGGAGCACATGGGCAATCCTCTCAACGTGCTCACCATCCTTAAGAGATTTGAGACTGTGTGGCCCAAGCTGGAGCAGCAGGCAAATGCCACAATCCAGCTGAGTCTACGTGAGGGACTTATCACCCAAGGAGAGCTAACCCTGCCCACCGAGGAGGAGTACGAAGAGTCTCTCAGCCACCTGCTGCACCTTCAGTCGGTTTACGAGCTGGAACCCGCCAGCCTCTCCCTGGGAGTGGTCAATGGCCTAAAGCTGGGGTAAGGCAATCCCGAAAATTAAAAAATGCCAGATGAAGCAACATTACAAAGCAATCAAAAATTGTTTGCATATTTATAGTTCCGCCATGTCCTGGGGCGACTGCCTGGAACTGGCTCGCGAGTCGGACTTCTCGGTGGCTCGGTTTTGGTTAGAAACTGCTCTGAACAAGCTGCCAGGCACCAGCGAAAACTCCACAGAGTCGCAGAGGGAGCGGGAGAGAGGACGAGTCAAGATTCTGGAAACGAAACTCAACATGGAATACCGCGCTGGTGGGTTTTATTCTTAGATAAAACGAATTTTCCTTAGACTAACCACTGTTACTTCTCGTAGGCGAACATTCCCGAGCCCTGGCAGCCGTGGAGGAGCTCATCCTGCTGCTGCCCAAGGACCAAGGTTACCAGAAGGCCAAGGCAAAGATTGAGCAGGCCATGGCCAACAAGGAGTTGCCCAAGGGCAAAAGACGAAAGTCGAAGAGGACAAAGACACAGGTAAGTGGCTGCAGAAGTTTCAGGGTAAGCTGATAGCTCTGAGCCGTGAAATGAAAAACATTCTGGGGCCGGAGGTGCTGCCATCCCAACAAATCATAGAAATTAGAGAGGGGGATTTAAAAAACGAAAGTCAAATGCTCTGACTTTTAAGACTTCGTTGGAAATTGTTTGATTTTTTACTCTAGTTTCTTATTATAATCTTTATACCCTCTTGTAGTGTATAAAAACAAATCTTTACACAAAAACATAATAGAAATAACTTGTAACCTCCCACCTAAACCTCCTTCATTCTCCACAGAAAGCCAAGTCAGCAGAGCAGCTGCTCATAGAAGAGCTCTGCCGCGGGGCAGCCCAGGAAGCCACCACAGGAAGCCGCCTCCATCAGTGCCAGCTGGCGAGGAATACTCCTTGGACGCTCTTGCAGCCCGCTAAGCTGGAGCCCCTGAGCTCAGACCCCCACATAGTTCTCCATCACGACGTGTTGACCGCAAAGCAAGCTGAGCAACTGATGGAACTCATGGATGAGGAGGAGGAGAGTGCAGCAAGTCGAGGAGTCAGCTACCAGCCCATGAAGTTATCCAAGTTGGCGCAGAAGAAGTTGAAGAGCGTTTACCGAAGGCTGGGTCTGAGTCACCAGGCCGGGGAATCACCGAATCCCTGGCAGGGACGTCGCCATGGCCACGGACACGCCACCGTGCTGGAGAAGGACTCAGAACTTGGCCGTGGCCATGCGGCACGTGGCATGCTGAGCGTACGTGGTTTTGGCCAACCTGCCTAATTAATTGACTAATGTGTCGCTAATTAAATTCCGTGGCTCAGTTGCAGGCACCCGGAATGGGCGGAGCCGTGGTCTTTCCCCAGCTGGAGCTCGGCGTGAATGTCCCACGTGGCGACCTACTGCTGTGGCATACACGCACCGCCGGCGGTTTGGGATTGGGATCCGCATCCGGACATGGATCCGAATGGGACTACCGCAGTCGCCAGGCAGTCTGTCCCGTGCTGCTGGGCGCACAATTGTGTGAGTATCGAAGCGGAGAGAGCGCGTGCCGGGATTCAGTTTTGTGGCCCAAAGCCACTTCTCATATCCCGCGTCATGCTTGACATGCGAACGTGTCTAAAGGATACCGTGTTATGGGGGAGATGTATAGAAAGAGGGGTATATTGGCCTAGATAATATTTGCATAAAATAAGGAAGAGAATGAGGGGATTTATTTTTTAAAAAATTATTTTAAAAGCATCAATGAATTTAGAGAAATAATCAAATATTTAGCAAATCATCAACATATTAATTAGAAAATTAGCTAAAATAATAGCTAAGCTTGAACTTTATAATTATAATTTAATAGATGGGGGAAATTTATTATTTAAATTTGAATTTATAGTTATCAAAGTAGATGTACAAGAATTCTTTATTTATTTAAAGCCTTTCAATTATTTTATGGAATCTTTTATATTCCTTTTTAAATTTTTAAACTTAGATAAAAGAATGTATTACTATCACAGGGTATCTCCTAGTCTGATAACCTCTTCACCGCTGTATTAATTTCCATTTTTTATTCATCTTAATTTCGAATGCAGCCGCGTGGACGGGACTCAGTTGACAGGACTCAAGCGATGGCAGCGAGGCGGAAGGACTCCGCTGATTTGCTGATGCATGTTACATATGCATTAATTGCCGCCGGGGGGACTTGAATAAAGTTGACCTTGTCATTTGATTAAAAATCAACCTTTTATGGCGCTGCCGAGTTAATTTTATTGCGTTATTGCCACTCGGGAGCTGGGAGTGGTCGGTGTGAATGGGCTGGATAAACAAAGGCCAGAAATGGGCGGCATTTCGGCTTGAATGGGCTCCATAATTGCAGGCCATCCGCGGTTTATTTGTTTTACCTGTTTTTCTCTCTCCGTGTGTTCTGTTTGTTGTTAAGAGGAAACCGCAAAACTGAGCCAAACACTACGCGGCCATAAAACAAGTGAGCCTGGCCTGGCCGCCTTTTGAAGTCGGTAAATCAGCGGAGATTGCGAATCAAAACAATGTGAGTTATGGTGGATGTGGCCGGGTAGCTCATTAACAAATCATTGCTCCAAATTGGCGGCCCGAGGGGATAGGTATCGGATCGGATCGGAATCGGAATCGCATCCATAAACATAAACAATGGTCTGTCAATAAGCAGCCGGGAGTCCATAAACCAATATGAAATGTCGCGCAACGAATTGGAAATGTTAATTGGCCATCGAAATGGGTGATATTTGCAGCGTTTTACAGCACTGATTAAGGCAGTGATGACTGGGGATATATATCGAGAGGAAAAGTTTGATTTGATATCGAAAAATATCGTTTTTTATAACGAAAATAATGTAATGATTGATTTATAGACATTTACAAAATCTAAGAAAATTCAGATAGCATTTACAAAACCATATTATCTACAAATATCAATGCGATATTAATTTAAAATTTAAATATATTTAATATTTGTGAATTTTTATAAAAAATTAATATTTAAACCATCTTCAGGACGTTCTACAGTTTATAGAAACACTACAGAAAAACCTTAAGTGTTGCACGAATCCCCCAAAGACCCTATATAAATCCATATAATTTTGTCTTTCAAAAATACTTTTTAAAATATTTTTTACCCAATATATTTAACGTAGATCAGAGAAAAAACTGCCATCACTGCCTGCTCATACTCACTTGATGGCCAAACTGCAGTCTTAAATATCAAACAGTTAACTGCCAATTAGCCCGTATTAATATGCTCGCCTGCTCTAATCCAAAACGTACAAAGACAATAGCCGAGACAATCCGATTTTCGGCTCCAATTCCGATTCTGATTCTGAGTCCGAAGCGAATTTAGAATTCGAAACAAGCTCGACCGATAAGCATCAGTAAATCAGCGCAAAACAAGCCATAAAACACGCCCGGCTCCGAGAAACCCGTACGAATGGTTCCTCTCTGCGACGGAACTTGCACAGAACTGGCTAATAAAACAGTTTTCTTCAAATCATAGGCCAACACCGCCAACTAGTTTCGTCTCCGCGCTGCGACTTTGCACACGCGAAATTAATTCTCGCCACAGCGGCCGCCGGTTTATACTCCGTCTCTCCGGGATGTCTCGGAGATTTCAGAGATCGATATAGAGATCTCCATGGTGACATTATGATTCCCCAAATCAGTTCGCCACGAGACGTGGCCAGCGGCGGACATAGAGTTCTCAAGAGATCAGAGCAAGGATTTCTACAATATAATTAATAATACGAGGGGATAGTGAAGAGCCATGTGGATACATATTCTAGTCCTGGGACTGGTGTCCTGTCTGGTTCAGGACTCATTGGCCTCGGATTACTTTTCCTCCATCACGGGCTTGGAGCAACTTCTAAACACAGAGGAGTATCTCATCAAGGAACTGAGGTCTAAGCTTAATGGAGTCAGGACATCATTGCAACAGTTGGAGGGGTGAGTAAAGGATGAGCTAAAGAAACGTATAAAATGAGGATTAAGAATTAAAAGTTGTCTTAGAAATCTTAACTTGAAATGTGAAATCTAATATAAACTATACATCGATATCTTCTATTATCAGAAGCTACAGATCTGGCTATCAATATTTTTCAAATGATTAATGGAATTTTAAATGTCTAAATCGACTTAAAACTGCAGGTAACCGGTATAAATTTTGTCTGTAGACAAATAGGAATCCCATTATCGGGCCAATTAAGTCTTTTGTGAACTTCTGATTGATATGCAGTCATAAAAATAAAGCATTTAGATAAAGAAATACAGTTAAAAATGTATTAAGATCCATCTGTTGGTAGCAATCTTTTAAAATTATAGATTTATTACTAGAGGATATGGAAGAGTCGAATCTCAGATCACAGGAACTATTGATAGTTTTGCCAGATCACGATATTTGAAACAATGCTAATTTAATTACAACCTATTGTCGTTAGCAAATCCATTAAAGTATTTTTTTTTATGACCCTTTCGAGAACTAGTTTATATAGTTTTTATATTTATGTTGTTGCCCCACGAGGTGCCAGACTTTATGTCTACTTTCGATGTGTGAACATGTCATGCTTGCGGTTTTAAATTGGTTTTTATCATGGATAGCCATCTGTCATTAATCTCGAGGTAGTTAGAGCATTATCCACTATCTTTCGATGGAAATTGACAGACAGTTTATTCTTCGATCGGGTTATCGGTTCCTAAGCTGTTTTCATGGCATTTCGCTTTCGTTTTATGCCATTTCGCTGGCGGTTTTGTTATCGCCGCGATCGTAAAAACTATTATGAATATAGAATCACACATAAATTAGAATTAATTAAGCCGAAATACGAGTATGCGCATGCAAAGTCAACTCCTATGACGACACAGCGCTAATAAATCGGCTAAACTGGTAGGCGGCACTAAACTCTAATCCGAAACTCGTTCAAAATGGTTCAATCCGCAGCGAGCTGTCCTCCATCGAGCAGGAGCACTCCCTGGCGGCTGCCGACACGGAGAACTACCTGACCAATCCGGTGAATGTGTATCGCCTGATGAAGCGCCTCCACACGGACTGGTTCCTCACAGAAGGACGTGTTCAGCAGATTGCCGAGGATCTAAGTGAGTTTGAATGAATCAGGAAACGCAAATAATAATTTTGGTTCCCTTTTATATTTACAAAAAACCAAAAATATCAACTTTTATCAATGGTTCCCCTTCCTTTTCGCAGCCTTCAATACCACCAAGGATTATGGATTGAGCTTTCCCAGCCAGGAGGATGTGGAGGGCGCTGCTTTGGCCCTGGTTCGCCTGCAGAGCACCTACAAGCTGGATGTGGCCCAAGTAGCCGCTGGCATTCTGAATGGCGTCAAATACGGGTGAGAAAGAATCCGGGGAAAGGGGAAGTGCGGGATATGCGGAATTGAAAATAGGAAACGGGTAACGGGATAGCGGAAGCGAATAAGCAATAACCAGCCAGGCTTAAAATATAGAGCTAGATGCCCTCTAATCCAGGCCAAACGAGGTCCCATCCTCCCCCAAAATTACCCCAATCGAATTTACTATACTTGGGAATAGGGTAACGGAGGCGTATACTTAATTTGTGGTCATATTTTTATAGCCTTTCTTGATATTTATTAATTCCTAAAACAAAAAAAAAAGCTGTTTTAAAAAAGTATTTCCGTTAAAATAAATTTATGAATTTTATGTTTAACGGTAGTTAATAAATTAACATAATTTATAACCATAAACGTCATTGACTGCTCTAATATTCAAACTAACAAAAAACGTATAAGCACAAACACTAAGAACTAATTATACACTTTATCATATTTTCAGAGTATTTTGTGGTCGATAAAATCTTCTCTAACTTTGACAGCCTTTATTTTTAGCTCGGACATGAGTTGGCAGGACTGCTTCGAGCTGGGTCAACAACTCTTTGAAATGGAGGACTACAACAACACCAGGATCTGGCTGAGGGAGTCCATGGACCGACTGCGACGCCATAGCAGCGCCGCCCACAGCCACGCCCCCTCTGGACCGGATACAGAGACCCTCAATAAAATGGAGGCAACAGCCAAGAGTTTGTTCCAACTGGGTGAGCATCTCGTGGGACAATATTCGTTTTAGCCTTTATGAAACCAACACTCACATGCGATTTTTAGGCGACTTTGACACGGCCTACGAGCTCAGCCAGCGAGTGCTCCAGTTCGATCCCAAGCGCATCCGGAACTGGCACTTGGGCGACAAGGGGGCGGCCCCTCCTTCAGAGGATTCCGAGGTGGCACTCCTGCCCAAGCACTCGGATTCGTATAGTGTAAGTTTAATATTTATGTTTTAATGGAAACTCCCATTCCTTAGACATGACAATGACTTGACTAAAACGAAGCATAATAAATAATACATTGTCTGCTCCCTGGCTCGTGCGTAACTGGTTGGAAATTCAAATCACAAATGTTTTATACTTTAGTTTGTAAATAAAAGAGAGCACTTCAGAAATTATGTGCATGGAAAATATTCTAGAAAATTCCCAACAAAACAATAATCCTTTTGTTTAAAACTAAATAATGAAAAAGTAAACTTTTCGCAACTAAACTTTTGCCGATTTTAATTTATAAAATATTCTAAATAAAACCAGAACTAATTATAATTTATATTTCCACAGCTGACCCACGAGTTTGCACACTACGAGAAGGTATGCCGGGGCGAGGTGAATCCCAGTCCGAAGCAGGAGCGCAGCTTGCGATGTCGTTTGAGCCAAGGATACCATCCCTACCGCTTGCTAGCACCACTAAAGCTGGAGGAGCACAGCTTGGATCCCTATGTCGTAACCTTTCACGACATGCTGAGTCCACAGAAGATCACTGAACTTCGGGAAATGGCTGTGCCCAGGATGCGTAGGTCCACCGTGAATCCCCTGCCTGGAAGTCAGAATAAGAAGTCCTCGTTCCGGGTGAGCAAGAACGCCTGGCTGGAGTACGAGTCCCATGAAACCATGGTCGGCATGCTACGAGATCTGAGGGAAGCCACCGGTTTGGATACCACTTTCTGCGAGCAGCTCCAAGTGGCCAACTATGGGGTGGGCGGTCACTATGAGCCGCACTGGGACTTCTTTCGGGACCCCGATCACTACCCGGCGGAGGAGGGCAACCGCATGGCCACAGCCATCTTTTATGTAAGCCGGAATTAGCCTAATCCTTTGTATGATTTACTGACAGTAATTATTTCAGCTCTCCGAGGTGGAGCAGGGCGGGGCCACGGCCTTTCCCTTCCTGGACTTTGCCGTGAAGCCGCAGCTGGGCAATGTCCTTTTTTGGTACAATCTACACAGGTCCCTGGACATGGACTACCGCACCAAGCATGCCGGCTGTCCGGTGCTCAAGGGCAGCAAGTGGAGTAAGTGGTTAAGGAAAGGGATTATTGGGTTATTAGTTTTGTCTTCTTTGGAAGAAGTTTAGCTGATTATTAATTGGTTTGTATTTGGCCATTATTTCTTTATTTGAAGCAGGGAAGTCCAAGCAATAGTAACTAATTTCGTTGAAATGTAACTGGAATTCCTTTTATTCAAATGGAAGCCTTTTTCTGTTATTCAACTACAGTTCAATCTGCAAGATGACCTATAAAATACAGAACTCACTTCACCATTTAAGTTAATTTTAAAATCACAGATAAATGAAGATAATTTTCCTTTCCCATCAATTCGTTTAAGGCTCTTCAGTCGAACTGCTTTTTAATTTAATTGTCAATTTACGAGTGACGCGAATTAATCCCTGGTGTCATCTCCACCTGCTGTCTGGTTAAGTCTTTGCAATTAACTTAATTATTTGACTTGATCTTTGCAGTTGGCAACGTTTGGATCCACGAGGTGACGCAGACCTTTGCGCGACCCTGCGACGTTTTCCGGGATCACGAGGTCTCGCTGGAGTACGAAATAATTAAATAAAGATTGTGATATTTTTAAGATACTATTCCATGTCTGTTTTATTTGGTTGCGTTTTTTTTTTTTTTTTTTCTTAGTTTTTAAATAGAAGGATATATATTAAAAATACTAGAATATGAACAATAAAAACCAAAATTTAATAAAATATTGCATTTATTATTATTTTTATACCCTTGCAGGGTATTATAATTTCAGTCAGAAGTTTGCAACGCAGTGAAGGAGACGTTTCCGACCCTATAAAGCATATATATTCTTGATCAGCATTAACATGCGAATCTTTCTAGACATGTCCGCAAGAAATCGATTTTTTGGCCATTTTTGCGAAGTTTGATCATTAGAATTAGCAAAAATGCCCAAAAATTTAGATTTCTTAAAATTTTAAATTTGGTATGCAGTTTTTTTAAATTAATAAAAACTAACACAAAACTGCTTTTCGAATCGAAATTAATGCATTTTTGGCTAAGTTATGATATATTTTAATTGTTACCTGCAAGGGTATACAAACTTTGGCTGGCCAAAGTTAGCTTTCTTTCTTGTTAAACCAGATTTTAATGTTAATAGAAAACATTTGAAATTTCGATGCTTTTTAAATAAAAATATATTCTAATAATAATTAAATATTAAATATAAAGTAATAAAGAAACTAAGAGCAATTTAAGATGTTATAGCAGCGATCTATATAGAGTCTGTAAAAGTTTTATATAATTAATACAATAGTTTTTAAAACAAATAATGCCACTAAACATTTTCAAAATATTTTTATAAATTTTTAAAATATTCATATTAAGGATTTCAATGTATTTTCTTGAATTAAACCTAACCTTAGCCAAATTTATATACAGAAATTTATTTAAGGGGTTATCCGGGTTTAGAACCACAAAAAAAGGCCTATTTTCCAGAATTTTTTTAAAAGATCCTATGACAATTTTGCAAATTTCATTTATTCCTCATTAATACATAATGTTTGAACTAAATTCTGTAAAATTTTGAACAAGAAATATTCACAAATGAGCCGTTGAGGGAGGGTTGAACTTAACCCTAAAAAAAATTATGTCCTTGCGGTAGGCAGGATTTCTCCGTCAATTTTTATTTGAAATCAAAAAACCAAAATTTTTCTGTTAGCTTATGTGTCTGGCTTGTCTCTGAACGAAGGATTTTTTAAAAAATTAAAAATTGAATTTTTGGGAGCGTTTTTCATGAAAAATGACACTTTTTACGTCAATTTTGGCCACATTTGGGGTTATAAAATTGGTTCTAATTGAAGATATAAAAAATCCTTCGTTCAGAGACAAGAAAAACATGTCTAGAAGAAGTGTGGAAAATCTGAAGTCGATCGGTCCAGTAGTTTTCGAGAAATCTTGACTACCGACTTCAAGAAAGTGGTTTCGAGAAAAACGCGTTTAAAGTTTTAATTGCCAGTTGTGACTCATACGACGCGCTGGGCTTTAAATTTCTCCCATTCCTACAGTTTTGCTTCGATCGACTTGAAATTTTCGGACAACATTCCTGACACTTTGTACTATTATATAAAAAAGTTTGAAAAAAATGCATTGTTTGAAATTTCAAAACCCGGATAACCCCTTAATCAATAGATGACGTTCTTAAAAGGTCCCACAACAAACTCAGTGGGTTAACAGCTTGAGCTTTGAGTGCCTTTTGAAACTCACTCAAAGACTCAAAACAAACTCGACGCTTTGCTTTAAGATGAGCTAAAAATCAAAAAGCCAGTTTCGTATTCATTTGCCGGCATTTCATTCATTTGCATAAAGAAGTTCACGGGCAAAGTTTGAGCGGGCGATTTGAATATTTTGTGAGTTCTGTGCTTTGTGAAGTGACAACTGGTGCGAGCAGCAAAGTGAAAGTAATTAGCGGGGGAAAATTCAGTCCGCCGGCTGGGAAAATTAGTTTTATTTCATGTTATAATGCGGGAATAATTCCAGGAATAATTGCTAGAACTTTGGGCCAAAGTAAATGTGCATACATAAAGTGAGTTGACTATGTGAGTTTATTGAACCCCACCTTCTTTGGTTGAGTACTCACTTTGGTGTGCCTATTCAGGCAGAACTTTGGCCCTCGAGGGCAGTTCTTTGACCAGAGATTCCGCTGGTTTTGATTTCTGCGCTAACAACTGCTCGATCGACACCCGCAGCACTCACACGCTCCCAGCGCCTCGAGCTTTTTACTTTTTTTTTCATTTTTTCTCGAGAAGATCGCTGGCAGATTGCCGATTTGGATTCAGTTTCTAACGAATCGCGGCGGCAAGAGCAAGCAAAGCCGCGGGTCGCGATCTGAGTTCAGGTGTCGTTTGTCGGTCAAGTGTGTGATGTTTTCTTTCAAGTGTGTCCTTTTTGTGGTGCTCCAGGCAGTGTCCTGCTGGGGGGAGTTCTTCAGCTCCACCTCGGGTCTGGAGAAGCTGTTTCAAACGGAGGTTGTACTCCTGGAAGAGCTGCAGAGTTATGTGAATGGAATTTATCAGCATGCAGAGGCCTTGCAGGGGTGAGAGGATTATTAAAGTGGAATTAGATATTCTAAAATATTTAGAAAATAATTTAAGAATTTTGTGAAAAATTACAGAAGAGAAATTTAAAATATATGTTATCATTGCTGAGTGTCCAAAAACGCTTTGTTTTACTTTAACTCTTCAAAGCTTTAAATGAAAATAACAAAAACAACTAAAAACAACTACAACTGCCGAATTAGTGGCTAATATTATCAGTATTTAAAAATGGCAAGCTGAAAAAATTAATAAATCTTAAAACTGGTTCCAAAATAATGTTAAATATAAGGTGAATAAACACATAAAAGAAAGAACAACACAGAAGAAATTCCGATATGAATGAAACACAAACTTAAACAATAAAATTCCAATTAATGTAAACTAAAGTCTGGTTTTCGGTTATAGCCAGATGTCAGAGAGTTGGAGCCCATATAAAAATGGAAAGTTTAAGTGGTTCTGACCAGGCCTACTAATCCCTAAGGCCTATGGCCAAAACTTAATAAGATGCAAATGAGATTCGCATTGGAATTCGCAGAGCCGCAATCCAATAAATTTCCCATTGGCAAATATATATTTTCCAATTGTCTGTCCGTCAGTCAAACCAAAAATAATACGAAAACAATTGACAGATGTCGCCGTGGCATCCGAATATGAATTTTTCATATCAAATGCGTGGAGGCGCCCACGTTAGTTGTGAATTAATTGCCAGCTCGGTGGGTGCTTGTTTATATTTTTTATTTATTTTTTTGGCTAATGAAAGTGTGGGGGAGATTAAATTCTAGTTAACTTCTGTTAACTTTTATTACAATTATGCAGATTTCTGAATGTTCTCCCTTAGTTACCTGACCGGTTGCAGCCACCATGAAAAGTGAATGGCGAATGGACTTTTTTATTGCTGCCCAACGATTTGTTGCCAAATGTGGCTGTGTTAATTCCCCAACAGATGCCATTTGTTTTGGTCTTCGATGCGATGCAATTTATTTTATGAACCGCTAATTTCTCCTTTTTCTGGGCTTGATTTATTCGCGCCGGTTATTATACTAATTAATGGCTCCTATAAAGCACAAATCGTTGGCAACATTTGGCGGCATTTCCTAAGTTTGCATTTCATTATCTGTGACAATCGATTGCTACCACCGTCCGATATCGCCTTTCGGGATCTTTTTTAAATCGACGACGCTTGGCAGGCGGTTTAATATTTTTGTTTTTGCTCAGCCATAAGTGTCATCGACTTGGCGGTTTCTAGAATTCTAAAATATGGTGCAATCATCGCCGCAGATATTTTGTTTATCATGCGCACTCGGCAAACCGGATCGTTCGGTCTCTAATAATATATAAAAACCGTTAACCGAATTGTAAAGTATATAATTTATACTGACCTGAGTCATCCGCCGGCGGGAACGGGTCTGATCTTTTAAGGCCGTGTAAGAAACAATTGAGTTTCTACGGAAGGCTCCTCTAAAGTGAAATAATGTAGATTTATTGGCCACAATTGCCGGCACTCAATCATTGGCACAATAAACTCGCAGACAATAGAGTTGAGCTGAAATTAGCAGGGTCTCGCTTCTAGATTCGGATTATGGCTACGCTCCCGAACTTAATGACTTCTAAATGAGCTGCAATGCAAGCGACAGGCGTTAAAATAAATGCGTTAATTATACAAAACAGGTAACCCGTCGATAACCCAGTGTTTTTTAAATACATTCCTGGGTATTTTTTAATTTTTATCACAATTTATTCCACCATAATTCTGAAAAACGATCGCAATCAGCAGGTGTTTTAGGCCACAAGGCACTGAAGATAAAGTTTGGGTATGGTTAAATGTTTTAAGAAACACTTTAGCATATAATTTTATTTTTACTAAATCACTTTCTTATATAAATATATTCCAATGAAACCTTTAAGCTGCATTACATTGCAATTTGTTTCAGAAACCTTATTAAATTTTGTCAAGTGTACCTTAACTTATAACCTGCTTGGCATATATATTAAAAGCTGCACACTCACAAGACAAATGTTGGCGACCAACCCCTTCAATTCGTGGTGTTGCTAATAATTTGTCTTAAAATTTGTCGTTCTTAAGAGATACCATTAATCGTTCTCCCTAGCTCAACTTTCATTCGGTATGAGTAGTAAAAACTAAATATAGTTGGACCAAACTAACCACTGTAATATATGCAAATCCCCTTAGCTATGCTGCTTTGCTTGGTGAATATGAGTCTGATTAATGAGAACTCTGTTCTGTTTACTTATGATCTTAGCGAGATCGATGCGATACGTGTGGAGCATCAGAGTGCCGCCGATGGAATCGATGACTACCTCAACAATCCGGTGAACGCGTTCCGCTTGATTAAGCGCCTCCACAGCGACTGGGAGACCTTCGAGGGCAGCGTTGCCTCGGATACGAGCAGAGCAGGTCAGTTGATTTTCGATTTTTGTAATAGAAAATTAATTATAAATCTATTAATTATACTTTGTAGACTATCTGGAAGCCATGGCTGGCCACAGGGCAAACCTGAGCTTCCCCTCAGGCGATGACTTTGTGGGTTCCGCCATCGCCTTGACCCGACTCCAGCAAACCTACCAGCTGGATGTGGCGGAGCTGGCCAGTGGCATTCTAAATGGCGTTAAATACGGGTGAGAATCGGTAGATCTATAAAATCTTTCTAATCTCTTTAAAAGGTGAAAAAATAAAATCAATTTATAATTTAAATACAAAACAGAATGGCGCAAAATGTATCACCCAAATAGCCAATAAACCTGGCCACGACCACTTAACCCATATAATATTGTCGACTTAATGGAACACCAGATAAAGTCATTAAAATCCTATAAACGAAATATAAAACAAATAAAAACATGGACTGACAAGTTTTGTATGTTTTTTTTAATAGAATGAATTATTCTGCGACTAACCTTATTCATAAAATTGTCACAACATTGTGTGAAAATGACTTGAGCAAGTACTAATAGTTAATTAGTAAGCTTATGTCTTAACAAAGCCATAATAAACTTTTTTAGCTTCCGGTTGCCAGGTAGTAAGGTGAATTTTTAGTTGACAAAAATTTAAATGAAAGTGAAAAGACATAAGTGTAAGAGGAAGTGACTTAATAAAATGATGAGTTGTGCTATTGTTTGTTTTAGTTACTGTTGAAATTCAGCCTCAATGATTTGATGTTATGATTGCACAAGTTGTTTATTAATTATTTATGTTTAAGCATGTAAACTCTGTGTATTTAATCCACTTATGAGAGCTTTCTATTACAAAATCAATAGGATTAAATCAGATCTCTTTGTTATTTAGTTTTCCCTTTCCTTAAGATTCAATATATAATTTATAATATTAATTTGCAAAGTGCATTTTATTTATTTATTTAATTCTTTAGTTAGTTATTGTTATTTAGTCAATAATAACATTTTAGCCATTCCAATTTACCTCACATAGTTATTCTTGTAATTTTCCTTTTTCCAGCACCGCCATGTCCTGGCAGGATTGCTTTGTCCTGGGCCAGCACCTGTATGCCCTGAGGGACTACAACCACACAGTGCCCTGGCTGCAGCAGTCGATGCAGTTGCTCGGGGAACAGACCTATGGCCAGGAGTCCGCCTCGCTGGACTTTATGGAGGCAGTGGTGGACTACCACCGGGAGATGGGTGCCCATGAAAGTGCTCTCGGCTTGGTGAACCACGTGCTCTCCGTGGAGCCCGACCAGAGGAGTCATCTGTTAGAGACGCGTCAGCAACTGGAGCAGCTTATCACTGATGGAGACAAGAATGGGCTCTTGCACCTGACAGCACGGCGACCCGGGGACTATCACGCCTCCCGGGAGTTTCGCCTCTACGAGCAGGTGTGTCGCGGCGAACTGAAACCCCAACCAGCTGCCCAGCGTAATCTCAGGTGTCGCCTGCGGAAAAGTCGCTCTGGTTACGTGCCCTTTAAGCTGGAGGAGCTGCACCTAGATCCACTGGTAGTGCAGCTACATCAGGTGGTGAGTGCCGAGGAAGCGGACTTTATGCAGCGCACAGCTAGGCCAAGGATCAAGCGTTCCACAGTGTATTCCCTCAACACCGGAGAGTCCACTGCCGCCGCCTTTCGCACCAGCCAGGGAGCCTCCTTCAACTATTCGAAGAACTCGGTCACTAAGCTTCTCCGCCGGCAGGTGGGAGACCTTTCAGGCCTGGACATGGACTATGCCGAGGATCTGCAGGTGGCCAACTATGGCATAGGTGGTCACTACGAGCCGCATTGGGACTGTTTCCCAGAAAATCACGTATACGACGAGGGGGACTACAAGGGGAACCGTATAGCAACGGCCATTTACTATGTGAGTTTGTTTTTGAAAAATAGAAATGAAAATAGAAGAATCTTGAAGTAATATTGGTTTTGCAGCTCTCCGATGTAGAGGCCGGTGGCGGCACTGCCTTTCCCTTTCTGCCCCTGCTGGTGACCCCGGAAAGAGGCAGCCTGCTCTTCTGGTACAACCTCCATCCCTCTGGAGATCATGACTACCGCACCAAGCATGCGGCCTGTCCGGTTCTGCAGGGCAGTAAGTGGAGTGAGTAAAACTTTAAGATCTCAAACAGATATTTCCTATAATTATGTATCCAATAGTTGCCAACGTTTGGATACGAGAACGTCATCAGGACAGAGTCAGGCCCTGCGATCTCCAGCGTAACCATGAAATCTCATTGCATTACAGGGACTTTGACTGAAACAGTAATCAAAAAACTACCACTCATTAAAGTAAGGTATTAATTTATTTAAAAAAGCATTCAAACTGAATCCCGGTAGGCCAGGGATTTGTAGCTATCGGAGGTGAGGTTACAGGGCCGCCGGAACTCCTGGTAACCGGAGTGCATCCAGATATTGCCAACTGCAGGAAGGAACACAAAGTGATAAATAAAATAAAATAAATATTTAAAAATAAAATAAAAACTAAGAACAAGTAAATCAAGATAAGCTTACTCCTCTTGGAGCCCACAATGACTGGGCAGCCGGCATGCAAGGTGCGCACATCCACGTCCAGGGAGCGATGCAGGTTGTGCCACATGACCAGGGCTCCCTTGACAGGCGGCAGGAACAAATTCAGCTTGGTAAACACAGTATAGCCTCCTTGTTCCACATCTGAGAGCTAAAAACAGAGAAGAAATCAAAGAAAAGAAGGTTTGAAATTTAGAGATTCCACTCACGTAAAACATGCTGGTGGAGATGCGATCTCCTAGGAAGTCCTTGGGCAGATTGACCTCAAAGTAATCCGGATGAGGCTCGTATTGCCCACCAACTCCATAGTTGGCCACCTGCATCCACTCCGCTCCGGCAATGTCCAGACCCGAAACGAATTGAATGATTCGGCTGATGGAGCCCATCACCGGACTGGTGTAGTTCAGCCACGTCTGCTGACTCACCCGGAGATCCTTTACGGTACGTGCTCCCTCAGTTCCGGCCACAGCGGATCTAATCATCTCCAGCTTGTCTGCCTCCTCGAAGATCGATAGAATCTGTTCGGAGTTAAGCATTCCGTGATAGACATTGATATCCGGATCCAGATGCACTGGCTCCACTTGCAGGGGTGCCAAGGTGTAGTAGGCGTGTCTTTTTCCATCTAGGAAACACTTTAATGGGTGACCAGTGCTCTCCTCGGACAACCTTCTGCCCTGACACAGTCTTGTGTAGTTGGCAGACCAGGAGTGGGTCTTCTCCTTGAGATTCTTTCCCGGTTCTCTGTTCTCCAGATACTTAAGTGTCTGTTGAGCAGTGTGATTGGGTAGAGGTTCTAAGATTCTATTGAGTAGATTTTCCGCCTTTTTGGGGTTACCCACTTCAAAGTTAGCCAACGCGGCGTACTCTCGAATGTCTGACATATAACGAGCGTGCTGTTCCTCATCTTCTTCCGGATTTCTTCTGAGGAGGGTAAAGGCCTCCTGCAGCCACTCCAGAGAGCGTCTATAGTCGCCAAGATCAAAGAGTTGGACTCCAATCTCATAGCATTCTCGCCACTCCAACACGGAATCGTATATATAGCCACCGATCTCGCCCTCAGCCAAGTGGGAGGTGGAGAGATTGTAAACATTTTGCAATCTGGCCAAGCCCTTGACTGCGCCCTGGAGCTCCAAGTGATTCGGATAGCCCAGGTCAGTGGTTACGGCCTCCAGAAATTGACGGAACTCTTAAGGGAAATTAAACCTAAGAGGTAAGTTTATCAAAATAATTTACAACCCACCTTCTTTGGGCTCATTGGCGACTATGGGTTCAAAGACCACTGCATCCCAGTCCTGGACCAGTCGCTTGATCAACCTAAAGGCGTGCAAAGGATGACCCAGATACTCATCCAGGTGAGCCTGCTCCATGGCCCACTCATGCTCCTCCTTGATTTGCTCCACATATCTAAAAAATAAACAAAATCAAACTCTATATCGTAGAGAAAATATATACTAGTACCTGATGTATAGCTCAAGTTGCTGCTGCTGCTGCTCCAAATACAAACGCGTGGCATTCAGTAACTCCTGTTCCACCTGCGCCAGATCCTGCATCCTATCCACCGATGAGTAGAACTCTCCCCCGACTGCTTCACTCCAAATTAGAAACGAAAAAGATGCCACAACCCAGAACCAACTTTGATGTGCCATTTCGGGCAAGGAGAGAACCGTAAACGACGGCTGACTGATGGATACTGCCTCGGGCAGAGCTACCACCCGCTTTCGAGGTGCGGATGGGGCCAAAAAGTATGATATTCCATTTAGGAACTGTCACGTATCCGAAAAAACGCTGTGCAAACAAAGATGCCAGTCGCAGGCACACACAAAGTGATGGAGACAAGTGCTGCCGCTGAGCAAACAACTCGTTCCCTCTCACTGGCTTGGCCCACACTTCGAGACGTGTGCAGATGGACACTTTTATAAAATTAATTCTGGAGTATATGGTATTTATAAAACTAAAGTAAACGAAATCATAAAGTGCCTTAAAACACGCTTCTTGTTCAGATACTCTGGCATACTTATTGGAAGAATAATCTTTAAGAAAATTAAAGAAATTCTAAAACTTCCTTTACTATCCATTGATTCATAGTACAATAACCTCTAGTTTTCTAATACCATTTGTTAAAAAACACTTGTTTATGCTTTACCAATTTATTTTAGAAAAACCCATAAAAAATATGGGCAACAAAACTTATATGTCGCTTAGTAGGAAATGCCGGTGTTGTCGCGGATCCAGTCCAGGTATCCAGTGACGCGGGTGAAGACAGCGGGGTGACCGGCCTGGCAGCCAGCTCCGGAGACGAAGGAGGTCACTCCAACCAGACGGTTACCGTCGTGTGTGACCAGGGGGCCACCGGAGTCACCGCCGCAGGTCGACTTGCCGCCCTCGGTGTTGATGCAGATCATGTAGTCGTGCAGGCTCCAGAAGCGGCTGCAGTCGCCCTGGGACATGATCTGGACATCCACAGCCTGGAGCCAGTCGGGCAACGGGCTGCCGTCGTAGGTGCCGCCCCATCCGGAGGCCACAGCCCAGTAGCCGGCGTAGCTGTTGTAGCGGTCGTTCCCACCGGGCAGCTCCACCTTGTTGACCAGGTGCCAGAAGTCCACGTGCGGGGTGCGGATCAGCGAGATGTCGTTGTGCAGGTTGCCGCTGTTGTAGTGGTGATGCTGGATGATGTCGCCGCTTCCAACCCAGTGGGTGTACTGGGGCTGGGTGCGGATGCTGGCGCCGTAGTTGATGGTCACGCCGCTGGCCCCATTGGTGCAGTGAGCAGCCGTCAGGACCCAGGTGTTGCCGATGATCGAGCCTCCGCACCACCAGTTGCCGTTACCGCTGAACAACAGGCCAACAATGTAGGGCACCTTGCCCTCGTAGGCCGGGTAGCCATTGGTGATGCGTCCCTGGATGTCCTTCACGGGCACCGGGGTCAGCTTCTCCTTCTGCTCGGGAGCACCGGGAGCCGGGATGGCGGAGGCACAGGCCACGGCCAGGGCGAGGAATACGAACAGCTTCATCTTGGGTAAGTCTTACAACTCATGGTTTTCCCCACAGGCAGCCGTCCTTTTATACCAAAAGTAGAGCCTTATCTATTGGGAGAGATTAGGTTGGCGGAATGTAAAGTTCGATGGGGCTGTATATTCTGGCCGAGTTTCGGGCGTGACAATCACGACGGTTGATAAGTTCGGTGCAAATGGGCTCTTTGCTAAAATTATGGCTTCTACTTGGCTATGAACAGATGTCTATGTACTTTGTAATGAGTTAAAGACCAGACATAGGACTTAGTAGGTCCTATAAATTATCATACCAATGGAAGTTACCTGAAATTTTCCTTAAAGAAAAAATAGTTCATAAAAGTTACCCAGTTGATAGTAATATAAGCTTATACAAGTTGGTAGCTGTTACCTTAAATATTCAAAGATAGACCAAGCATGGAATGCACTTTAAATGTAGATATTTAAAATCACCTCAAGGCCATATCTAATGAATAATTATAATAATAACGAACGATAATTTATGTGCAGTGGAATCATTTGCACTTAACTCTATAGGTCTGAGGATTGCAATAAAGATTATTTAGATTATAGATTGTTATACCAACCACCATGACACTTAAGTTTCGCCGTGAGAATTTTGTATCTAATCAATTTAAAAGAAAATACTACACGCCTACGATTCATGAAACCATTATCTAAACCAATCAGTTTGATTTACGCAGCATATCAGTTAAGATGTGCCATAAATATAAACCTATCTTAGTATACTTACTTTTAAATAAATTTAAGAGTTCGACATCGCCAGCTGATAACGGCTTTCATTCATTCTTTTTCGGTTTTTTGATATACCTTTGCCAAAAAAGGCTTCAGTATCAATATGAGATCTCTATCTAAACATAACTTTGATAGATTTTGGCAACGGTTTCCGCTGCAATATATTCTGAGGCTTTGAGGCAGCTTTACATCCAGACAATTCCTTTTAAGCTCTACTATTATTTATAGTTAATGAAATGATCCTTATAAGTATTCAATGCTGAACCAAACCCTATGTGTTTTCTCAGTCTGTCAAATGCAATAATGCTGGCCATTTTTTTTGCCGCCGTTCGCTCTTTTCCCTGCACTTTTCCGCCTCTCGGGCCAAATCGAGTTTCGTTAGTGCTGCAGAGGCCGCAGGATATTCACAGGACTCTGTAGCTGCAAACACTAAGCCGATTTGTATCCACTCACCCATGCAAACACACACAGATACTCACGCACACTGCAGCACTGGCCCATCGGCCCAAAGCTGATGCAGCCGAGCTCCACTTACCGCACTTGATGGATGAGCCCTCCGGCTGATGAATCGCCGCCCACTAATCGAACATCAGACCAGGCCCTGGACAGGAGAGATGGCCCATAGAGGAGGGGCTTCAATTTCGATTTCGCTGCAGTTTAAGCACGTCTGATATTTAATAATGTATTTGCTTTTCAGGCAAATAATTTTATTAATTTAACTGCGAAAAAAGGGTTATTTTATTTACCACAATTGGGTGTAAAGTTGGTTGAACTTATGCAATAATTTTGCTAGAATTTGGTATATATTTTATAACCAAATCCATTATCCTTTGAGAACATTTTTAAATAATATTAAAAGCTGAGTTCATGATGAAATGAAGAGAGACAAATTGCAGTCTAATTTAAATTTATAAATTCGTTATAAGTGTTACTTTTAATAATAAAGTCCACTCGACTTATCAGCCGACTTGATTGTCACGCCCGAAACTCGGCCAGAATATACAGCCCCATCGAACTTTTCATTCCGCCAACCTAATCTTCCCCCAAAGATAAGGCTCTGCTTTTGGTATAAAAGGACGGCTGCCTCTGGGGAAAACCATGAGTTGTAAGACTTACCCAAGATGAAGCTGTTCGTATTCCTCGCCCTGGCCGTGGCCTGTGCCTCCGCCATCCCGGCTCCCGGTGCTCCCGAGCAGAAGGAGAAGCTGACCCCGGTGCCCGTGAAGGACATCCAGGGACGCATCACCAATGGCTACCCGGCCTACGAGGGCAAGGTGCCCTACATTGTTGGCCTGTTGTTCAGCGGTAACGGCAACTGGTGGTGCGGAGGCTCGATCATCGGCAACACCTGGGTCCTGACGGCTGCTCACTGCACAAACGGGGCGAGCGGCGTGACCATCAACTACGGCGCCAGCATCCGCACCCAGCCCCAGTACACCCACTGGGTTGGAAGCGGCGACATCATCCAGCATCACCACTACAACAGCGGCAACCTGCACAACGACATCTCGCTGATCCGCACTCCGCACGTGGACTTCTGGCACCTGGTCAACAAGGTGGAGCTGCCCGGTGGCAACGACCGCTACAACAGCTACGCCGGCTACTGGGCTGTGGCCTCCGGATGGGGCGGCACCTACGACGGCAGCCCGTTGCCCGACTGGCTCCAGGCTGTCGATGTCCAGATCATGTCCCAGGGCGACTGCAGCCGCTTCTGGAGCCTGCACGACTACATGATCTGCATCAACACCGAGGGCGGCAAGTCGACCTGCGGCGGTGACTCCGGTGGCCCCCTGGTCACACACGACGGTAACCGTCTGGTTGGAGTGACCTCCTTCGGCTCCGGAGCTGGCTGCCAGGCCGGTCACCCCGCTGTCTTCACCCGCGTCACTGGATACCTGGACTGGATCCGCGACAACACTGGCATCTCCTACTAAGCGACATATGTAGATACTTTTCTACTATTTTCTTGGGATGTTTTCTTAAATAAAAGTTTAAAGCATAAAACATATTTGTTTGAATTTAATACTTATATATTTAGTTATTTTATTTTCATAGCACTTACCTCTCTATTGAAAAATAACTATGTATAAATACTTTTTTGATTTGCTTTCAATTGGGATTTTATTGCAATTTTTTCTACTATTTAAACTAGGTAAATATACAAAAGTAGATAAATTCCATACGTGTCTAAGATATAGCTAGGTAGAGTGGTAGAGTGGGCTCCTTGGAGGGGGAACCGATAAGTAAAAGAGATGCGGCCGCCTCCGGGCTGTGTTCTGTGTATTTACAATAGGAATTCGATGGCCGAGAGCAGAATGAGATTCCGCATTAAGATTCGTTGCATTGCACTAACTACTCCAAGGCCTAGATGGCAAACTCGCCGTGGTCCTCGTCCAGGGAGCAGGGTCTGCGGAACTCCTGGCCCCTCTCATGGATCCACTTGTTGGACACTATTTAAATAAATTAAATCATATAATAAATTAAATAAATAATTGATTTTAAGACTCACCCCACTTGGTTCCTGTGAGGACAGGACAAGCTGCATGACGGGTCCTCAGATCTCCCTCGCCATCTCTGTGCAGGTTCATCCAAAAGGCAGCCGTGCCCTTCTTGGGAAATAGAGCTGCATGGAGGGATGTGAAAACGGTGGCACCGCCCTGCTCCACATCACTCATCTAGAGCAAATATTTGAAAATAAATTATTTTGTTGAAGTTGACCAAGTAAATCGTAAACAACTTGCAACCCTTAAGACTTCCTTTAAATTCGTTTCTCTGCTAAATTCAGTTGAATGATTTCCAGCAAATGAAACTGCATTAGAAGGAAAACAACTTTTGTGTGAATGTTTTCCTTTTCAATGATATTCCCTCCACTCAGGGCTTTGAAAATGCTGAATGAAATGCCACAGAGTTACAGCCCACGCTTATTTCTATTTATAAACAAGCTCTCACTAATGATTTCTGTACCTGGCCAGTGGAAAAAGGAAACCTTATGGAACGTTATAAGCTCCGGCACAAAAGGGGCATGTGTCTCGGATTAGCTTGCGTTTTCCCCAATTATTCTTGGAGCACAAAAACTTGCAATTAAATGAAAAACTTACGTAGAACAAAACCGTGGCAATGCGGTTGCCCAGATTGAGACCCTCAAAGGCACGCTTCTCCTCTTTCTGAAAACAAAAATACCAAAATATAAAAATGAACCAATTAATTTAGAATGCAAAAATAATCCCCGAAGGCAGCACTCACCCGGGCAAAGTCAAAGTGCGGCTCGTAGTGACCTCCAATGCCGTAGTTTACCACCTGCAGTTCCTCGGCAGAGTCCATGTCCAGCCCGGTCATGTCCGCCGTGCGTTGCACCACAGTTCCTATGACAGAATCCTCCTGGGTCTTCAGCCAAGCTGACTTGCTGATTCTATAGTTGGCCGTCTCCAGAGCTCCTGTTATGGAATTCTGGACAGTGGCTCGTCGGAATCGAGGGCGGGCCATCCGCTTGATCAGCTCAATCTCGCTGTCGTACATGGCATCGTGGTAGATCACAATGTAAGGATCCAAGTGGGCCTCCTCCAGCTTCATGGGACCGATGCGCAGGAAGGGCACATTGTTGGTAACATAGCGACACCTCAGGGGTCGCAAATCCGTGGGAGAGGGCTTCAGTTCACCACGGCAGAGCATCTCATAGGCTTTTCTTTCTGTGATGTCGTACACCCCAGGATCACTCTTGGCCACGGGCTATCATAAATAAAATTGAAATATTAATTAATAATTTAAATTGAAAATTTTCTCCTTTTGAGGTACTAAAATATCTTACCAAGTCAGACTTGGGCATCTCGTCTGTACCATCGTCTCCCTTCATCTTCTTTAGCTGCTCTTGGTTGGCAATCTCCTTCTCGTAGAAACGCTTGTTGCCATTGGCCCGCTCATGATGGGGCAGCAGTTGGAGCAGCTCGTTGGTCATGGTCAAAGCGCTCTCTATATTACCTGAAGGTCAAGAAAAACATAAAAATGCATTTCAAAAATAAATAAATTAAATGGGGAAGAGGATAAGCTATTAATATTTAAAGTCCGGAATTTATAGGTAATTTTTCATTATTGAATATAAAAACTATCCAATTTTACCTTAATACTTTCCAGTACACCATCTATGAAATAATTCTCCAAAATTTATAACCAAATGCTTAACCTTTTTTTCAAATAATTCTCCTTTAATTAGCTCTTCATTAATTAACAAAAACTTTCTAAGATTCCCCAACTAAACCCCAAATTCCCCCATTAAAAGTAAAAACATTAGGACAAACTCTAACATTAAATGGGATAAAATGCTGGCATAAATATTTAAGCAGGACATCAGTAAAAAACTTATTTAAAGTCAAGAGTTTTCCACTGGGGCGACCCGCACAATTAATTCATCAGGTTTTGGTCTGGCTGGGGTTAAGGGCGATGAGGGTGGAAGGGGTTAAGGTTAAGTGTGATGCGCCACTAAATAAACATGACTCCGCCCGAAAGTATGCCACAGTTTCTTCTGCTGCCTGTGGTGAGTTTTCCACTTTGAAAGTTTCTCGTTTCACTTTTTTATGTTTTGTTTTTGTCGAGGCCATCGAGTCGATTGGATTGTTGGCAAACTTTGCAAGCTGCGCACTTATTTATTCATTTGTGTCCAGGACCAGGCGACCATTTATCCCTGGTCTCTGCTAATAAGTTAGACAGAGAAGTGGTAAAAACAAAGTAATGGGAAAATAGGAGGAAAATAGAAGGATAAATAGATATATATCTATGATACTTACATAGATATATAAAGGCTTAAGAGAAAGGTTTTTGTGTTTACCTTTCAATAGAAAATTATATTATTATTTTGTAAGACAACTGTATAAAATTGTATAACAAATATATGTTTATACAGAGCTGGTTTCACCTCTATTTTACCAATTTTTAAGGCAATATACCGCAACAAAAAAGGCACATTTCCCTGACATCACTGAAACCGAGCAACCTTCAGCTTTAACCTCCACATCGACCTCCACTTTTGAGTCCCTGTCGGCGACAGGAATTTAAATTTGCATCTCCCGACACATGTGTGCCATGATACGGTAAGGGGAAAGTGGGTCCTGGAGTGCGGAAAAGCCTGTCACTTTCCTCGAGGGCGGGCCCATTTGTGTTGTTTTTCCAGCACAATATGGCGACACTTCCACTCCGCCCATAAATCGTGTTTCCTCTTTACAAAAGTGGTAAGGAGCACCTCCCCCTGAGGCCACACACAGATACGAGTACGTGGGCTCTGAGACAACTCCTTGATGAACGCAATCCGGGGTAATAAGACGTTAATAAACCAGCCAGGGTCTAAGCCGTAGACGTGCTGATCCCGGCCAGCTCTCCGTTCTACGTGATTGCTTCTGGCCGACACTACCGGAGCAACATTGTCGCTTTGGCTGGCTGCAGATGGCCAACACTTTATCGCACTTAATGGAGGGCCCTCTGGAGGGACTCCACCTGGCCAGAGTCACCTGGCAGAAAGTGGCGGCAGAAGTGGTAGGAGGGCCACTGGCTGGGGACAGAGTGCAATTTCCTGCAGTCAAATGGACCTCGAAAGTGCCATGCAAACGAGCTGGCACAGAAACGAGAATGAACAGCAAAAACACTCTGAGAATTTAATTAGCAACACTTAAGGACAAGCTTCTACTTTCAAGATGGATTCTATGAAGTTTTAAAAAACTAACACCAAACAGATTAAATTGAATATAATTCATTTAAAGAATTATTAAATTCATAAAGAACTGGAAAATCGTTTGCTTATTTTCTTACAAATATTTCTTAAAGTGCAACAACCACTTTGGGGACAGATAGAAGTAAGCACAAATGGACAATGCCGCCTGCACTTACCCTCCTTGTAGGTGGAGAAGGCCAGGTACTCGAGGACCTCGGCCTTGGTGAAGCTTTGGGTGTGGTTGTGCGGCTCCTCCAGCATGCGGGCCATCGCCTCGTTCATCCAGAGGACCGTGTGATGGTAGTCGTGGTTCACGTACGATTGTCGCCCCAACTCGAAGCAATCGTCCGAGGACATCTCCGTGCTGCAGGATAGCAAATTGGTAAGTAAAAATCCCGGGGATTAAGCGACAGTTATCCAATTTCGAAGGTGTCTCATTTGGGCAAATACAAACCTGTACTGAATCCCATTGAGTTTGCCGCGTGCCACACTGGAGGTATCCAGCTGATAGGTGTCCTGCAGGCGGAGCAGCGCCACCGCCGCCCCATTGAGATCCTCGTCCGAGGGAAACTTGAGAACGTTGCGATACTGGGTGATGTTCTGCACGAACTCCGTGCCCACGTCATGCTCCATAAGGTTCTCCACCTGGCGCCAGTCGGTGGTCAGCCGCTTGGTCAGCAGATAAGCGTTAATGGGATTAGACACGTAGGCGGTAATATCGCTGGAGGCGTCCGCGTGCTCCCTTTGGTACTCGTCCATTTTGCTGGAAGGGATCACAAATGGAGGGAGGGAAAAGTTAGCAGACAGTTTACTAAGTGCTTTCCGCGAGCAGGCAAATTGCATTAAAGTTGGTCGAGGGGAAAGTCCAAGTTTGAAGCAAGAAACCGGCCAAGTCCTTGGGCAAAATCAATCCAGGACTCAGGCGAGTTCGGTAACTTGAGTGTTTATCAATAAGTGAGCAGAAAAACAATGAACTTAAGAGGGAAAAATAAGCTATGTTTTTACTTCACTTAAATAATACTTGACTTTTAAGCGAGTTTTTCTTTTCTAGCTGGGATATTGTTTTCAAAGTAATTTTTTAAATATCACCAGCAAGCTTCCCCCATAAGTTCCATACAAAATGGTAATCAAGTGCCTTTATTTAATTATTTTCCTTAAAAACTAAAGGTGAACAATAAGTTAGTAGCGTGTAAACATTCTACAAATAAAAAATATATAATTTAGCATTAAGTACAACCCACTTATTATGTACAGTCGTTAGCGGATGGTGATCTTCCTTGAATTACAAATCTAATACTTTGTTTTTTGGTCTTTTAGCCGTTCGGTGTGCCAAGTTTTTGTCGAATTACAACTAGTTACAGACTAAGTTTAAGTATCTACCAACTCCCACCGATTAAACCACATTCACGCGGTTATCTGGTGGAGGACGGTGGCACCACAACGTTCCCAGAACGCCCAAGCCAATAAAGAACATGGTGAAGGTGGAGAGTCCCAGAATAACTCCAGTGGTCACATCGTGGAGAGGTAGACCCGGGAAAGGGTCCAGCACAAGTATCACCAGCAATCCACATGACTTGAAGAGACAGAACACGGTTACCAGGATGTAGCCGGAGCTATAGCTTCGATTGGGCAGCCACTCGCAGTGACGCGACTTGAAGCCCAGAAAACCAAGTCCTATGCCGCAAAAGGAGGCCACCAGGCCAAACTGGAGATAAAAGGCCTTGCCAAACTGTAAAAAAACAAAGAGAGGTTACTAAAAGGACACTATTCCAGAGTATTTTCAGGACTTACGTGAGCTATCATGTAGATAGTGAGGCCCGCGTTCATAGTGCTGCCCAGGACGAGCATAAGGGAGACCACTGCCAGGGTGATGGTGGCATTGGCCAGCTTTTGCGTATACGTATTATTATTCTTTGATGGCTTTCCCTGGATGCTGCTCATGTCCTGCTCGAGCTCCCGCTCTTGCTCTTGAACCCTAGGACTGATGACGGCCATAGAGCGATCGGTCATCTGCAGAGAAGCCGGCGGCTTCACCGTCTCATAGTGGAGTCTCTGCGGCGACAAGCGATTCTGGCGAAGCGGCAAACTTGGCGGCGGTCCTGCCGCCAGCTGGCTCTGGTAGATCTGCTGGCTCTTATAAATCTCCAACCGACGCTCCAGCTGCAACTGTTCATGGTGGGCGGCATTTCGGGGCGTGGAATGAGCCAACCTTGGCGGTGGCTGCATCTTCCTAGGTGTGGTAAGAAGCTCATGAAGTGCCCTCGTTGCCGCCGCTGCATTCCTTTGCTGCGGCGTCGAGGTCCTGGCTGCAAACTGCTGACTTAACTCCGAGTTGCTCAGGCAGGTCTCCTGCTGCTGCTCCTGCTCCTCCGGATAGTCATCGTCATCTGCATCTGTGGGCACCACCGCATATCGATGAGCTCGACCGTTGTGCATCTGTATGATCTCTTGATTCTCATCCACCAGCTCCTCATCCTCCGCCGTGGGTACCATCTGATACCTCTGGTTGCTGTTTTTGTCCACAATTAGGAAAGTCTTGCTGCCAAAGTCGCTACTGAAGGCGCTCTTGAGCTGAGTTTGATTGGGATTTGGGTTGTTGTTATTATTCCTATTGCTCCTGGGCTTGATGGGTTGGTTAAGGTTAGGTGGCAAGCTGGCAAACTGGGTCTCCTGGTGGGGCTCCTCATGGAATGAGTGCGGTTCTTCTTGCTCCTCATGCAAGCCATGCCTGGAGCTATAGCAATTGAGGTTGTCCTGTGATCTAGCCAATCTTTGGGCCGCCTGACCTGGGACAATGGCATATCGGCCAGCTCGACTAGTATTGAGTTCTTCGAGAGGCACCAAAGCATAGCGGCCAGAGGAGGATGTCTGCTGATTGGCTGAATACAACTGAGGTTTGCCAGGATAAGGATATTTCTGCTGCTGCTGTTGAATTATATGTTGCTGTTGCTGCTGCAGCTGCTGCTGCGGTTTCCTGGCCACCGATCGCGTGGAGAGACTTCTTTGTATGCGCAAAGGACCTTCGCGAGGATCACGTGTGTTACGCGGCGGAGCTGGACCGAAATTTAGCTGCAAACTTCTGTTGTAAATGGACTCCACTTGGCCACTGGGCACGGGATAGAACTCGCTGTTCTGGCAAAAAGCCGGATTGGTGTAATTATGCTGCGACATGGTGAACGCACTGTACTGGCTACTTTTTTTAGGGGTTGATCTTGAGTTAGTTTCACTTGGGTAATGGGTTTTACTTTAAGATCTTGTCAAGAAACTTTATTAAATTCACTTTGGTATTTAATTTGTTACAGTAAATCTCTTGAAGAATCGATCTTAGCTAGCTTCCACTTGGTTGCTGCCTTTCTTTAAATATTTTTTATAACTTTTAAGGAGTGTTTCCACTCTCGCACAACCGCTCGCCTCGAGAACTGCGACTCAACTGAGCTGAGGAGCCGTTCCAGGTCGCAGCTCCTCGACTTCCTCCACTTCCTGCGCCGGCGTGCAGCCGAGTGGATCCTCCCTCCCCTCTGCCACAGCCACTACTCACTCATTTACTCGAACTTGTACATAAGACACCCGTACTTTGGTACAATGAACGACTGTGTTTGGCGCGTTCCATTAGGCCAGAAGTTGAGGAAACATCGAAACATCTGCTCCTGCGCGACGGCGGCGGCGGCCACTATGAGGGTTGAAACGCATACGGAGCTCCGAACTCAGACTCGAAATCAACCATCAAAAAGGCAGGAGCAGCCGGCTTTCCATTCGGTTCGCTTTATCAGCGTTTTTAATTCTTATTTACCAACTCATAACTGCAGAGCGATCCCTCCAGGGCTTTAGTTCTGTTTTGATACCACTTACAGGGGAATTAGAGGGTATGATGTATGGGGTTCATCAACTTTACTCATATACCTATATCATTATGTAAATCTAGGGGAGTTTTGTATATAAGGTAACACCTTATAACTATCAAAAAGGCCTTGAAATATTTCCATATAAAGGAAGCAGCACCTTTAAGGCTAAGGTAACTATTATAAAAATAAGAAATGTTGCCTTTTTCATTCATCTACTTTTTATAGAAATACCAGTTGCTTGCTATGAATATAAGAAAATATTATTCAGTATTTATTATCTGACTTTCATTCATAAAAATTTTAATAGAAACTTGATTAACATTTTTGATAATTTATAAAGTTTGTTAGAAGCACCTTTTGTTTGTTCTTAGCAAATATTGAATACATATCAGGCTTTTATTTTTTAAATTTTTTAAGCACATTTTAAGTGCATAGTTTCTGAACAGAACAAAACAGTTCAATTTAATATGCACATATTTAAAACATAAACAAGTCGTGTCATAAACTAGAGCTACCAAAATTTTAAGCATATCAAGTTTTTCCATTTAAGTTTAATTATGACAAAACATCTTCCACTTCTGGAGAATAAATGAATTTAAAAATAAATAAGTAAATAAATCACTTAAGACTAATATTTAACAATCTTAAATCAAGTCAGAAAGAAATTCCATGGAATCATTTCCATAAATATTTGAACAAGAAAGTAAATATAGAATCGTTATTAAATTTATTTTGGGAAATATGATAAGGAATTTTTTGGTATCATTATTAAATATTATTTTTCCAAGAAACTGTGGGGTTTAAATAAATATATCAAAATATAATGCCTTAAGTTTTTCTACAAAATCTTAATAAAATATTAAACTTTTTATAATAATATTTAACATATTCTTTTCTAAAAAACTTTCAAGATTTCTTTATAACTTTTCCCCGATTCTATGAAATCTATTTTAAATATTAAGAGAAAATTATAAAATTTATCTAGAATCAGGGGTATTTTATTGTCGTTCATAATCCCTATCAAAATTATACTTGTTCGCTTCTGTTGTTTGTGCACACACAAAAACCTTCCCTTGAGGGTCGCCACCCCTCCTGCTTTTCGTTGCTCAAGCGACCGTTACATTTTGTATTCGTAGGCCACCTCCATCCAGTTTCAGGTCCACATAGGAGTGTATATAGATCCACATCCCTGTCCCTATACCAATACCCAATTTCCCATTTTCCCATTTCCCGCATGCATATGCATATTCGCGGCAACATCCTTTTGAGTCCCCCGCAAATTGGAAGAGCGCGCGCGCCTGTGGTCCTTTGTCCCGCTGCGTTGGCCAATTTAATTGGCTTTTGGCCAGGAGTCCTATAGCCCAAGGCCAAAGGACAGACGCTGCTTGACCAGCGACCAAAACAAATCAAAGTTACGGGGAAACTGTTAAATGGATTAGCCGCAAATTGCAGTCACTACACAGAAAGAAAATGTTGATCAAAAATGAAGATTGGTCAAATTTTAAGAGGTCATAAAGATATAAGTCAGTAAAATTAAGGATTTAATAGAAATATTTGAAAATACAAAATCTTGCGATTTAAAATTAAATTTAGATTTTGTATATTTCAGAAGTCTTGTTTCCTTAATTTTTTTTTTGCGTGCATGCCAGCTGGCCAGTTGGAACATTTAAAGCCGCATTAAAATTTAAACTCCGGCAGACGGCACGCGACAAGGCGGCTCACAGGGACAGATGACGAGAGGCTGCATCCGAAGGATTCGCAGAGACAGAGACAGGCAGCACAGGGCAATGACAGCGCACAAGGATAACGAGACAGAGACGGCAAATGCGAATGCAAGCGAGTCAGTGTCAAAGACAGAGACAGAGACAGCAGGCACACAGCTGTCAGCTGTTTTGTGAGGATCCTGTCTCGTCCTTTGTTGCGGCAAAGGGACAGCCGGAGTAACAGCAACAGCTCGAGATATAGAGATACAGGAACCGCCGCAGAGCTGCCAGATACAAGATACAAGATAGATCCTGAGTGCGCCTGGCATTGTGGCATTATTTGATTAGGGGAGTTGTCGCACCGCATCCTGCAGCTCCTTTGAGTTCTGAGCTGTGAGCTCTGAGCTCCCCCATTTGTTTCCGCCGCCAGTTGCACATACATAGATCCCCTCGCACATAAGCAAAAGATATGTATCTGCAATCATCGGATACAGATACAGATACATATGTATGTATATGGTACTAGGTGCTACGTGCAACAGCTGCCACTCGCACGTGGCAAAGGCAATTACCCTGAATGCAGGCGGCTACCTGAACCCGAACCCATTTCCCGACTAGAAACATCTTGGCACCATTTGCATAGAAATTATTTATGCTAAATTAAAGAGCTTGGGGGACCGCCTAGAGCCAGTTTTATGGTACCTTTCGTGGGCCCTGCACACGATCAAAAATCAAGAGAGTCTTAACTTGCAATAAATCGTAGAGAAAGGTTTTATTCCGCTTTAGTTGTTCATGCTGCTTAACCTTAATTAATGCATAATTATGCCTGTGGTTTTTAAATCATAAAATTACAAGCCTACTAATTGTGATTTGGATTTTATAAGCAAGTTGTAAGCTAAGCCATTACTAGCCACGACTTTAAATTGGATTTTCTAGAACAAGAACTTCAATTACTATTTAATAACTTCAATAAACCTCTATCTTTAGTATTAACCACTCTTCTGCTTATTAAATTGAACATTTTAAAGGTAATATTTACATAAAAATGTATTTTTTAAACCCTAATTAAACCCAATTTTTATTTATTTCAACTTAATAAAGCTTGAAAAATATTAAATTAAAAGCTATAAACATTTTGTGCAAGCCTTGCTGCACCCGAGAGTTCCCAACGAAAAGGTCAAATTCATTAAACGTAATTAAATAGAAAGGAAACCTTTATTATCTAATGGTAAACTAATTAGTAATGGTATTTGGATTTGAGTTTTTTTTTTGTAAATAACAAAATATCCCAAAGCACAAATGGTAAATAATTACTTTGTATTGGCAAATAAAGGCATGTGCTTTAATGTTGTAAATTAAATTGTGATTTGCCAACAGATATTTCTTCATTTTGAATGTTTACAAATAATTTCAAATACAAATAAGTGGCTGTAAATGCAGTTTATCAATGCTTACTAAATAATTTATAAACACATAAGCTTTAATGCCTTAAATTGAGAACTTAAAAGGACAAAGCTCAAGGCTCAATTAATATTAATAATATAAAGTTCAAATTGAGTGCCAACTTACTTTTTGAGGAAATTCAGCTTGTTCTCCTGCACGCGTATGTAGCCCTCGAGGTTGGTAATCAGTACAGATTCAGTCTCAAGTAATTCCTCCATCTCCGCCAGGGCTGTGTACACCTCAGCTTCCACAGGCACGCCCACAAAAAGGAGGACGATGAGGAGGACTCCATAGGGATTCATCAGTCGCCAGTCTGCTGCCATTTTTTAAAGTCTCCTGAAAAGCATAAAAAACACGAAACCATAAGCCACAAAGTTCGTTACAACAATACGAGGGCATTAAATCTCCGACCATGTGTAAAGAAGAAGCTCTCTCTCTACCCAAGCTCACTGAACTCGAAATCGAAATTGAAATCCACTTTCATATTGATTAATATCGCTGCCAAATAATATCTTTTTAGTATTCCCCCAGCCAACGGCATAGGAACTGGGACAAGCTGTTGCTTGGGTTTTCGACAGTTTTGGCAATTTATTTTAATGAGCGCTTTTTAATTTGACCTGCCATCGAGCGATTGTTTTATGGCAATGACTTTACTGCGCTCGCAACGCGCTGACGACGACAATAAAACGGGTCCGAATTGTGGGACACCATCCACCCAGCCGGGAGATGCTCTTCAAAATGCAAGTATCTGTACACAGAAAAAATTATCGTGGGTAAATCCAACCATTTCGTGGGTTAAAAGGTAACAACCAAAATCTTGGGTTCCATGAACTGTACGCTGCAGTATAACGACGTAACGCGTTACGTAACATGTACTGCTCTACAGTACATGGAACCACGATTTTGCGGTTAAAAGCGCCAAACCACGAAAATTGTGAAATACACTATTTTACTATTTTACTGTAGACTACCCCCGACTACAGTAATTGCAGTTCATATTACCACCAAAATAAAACCAAAAATTATTTTAAAATTTTAATAGTATTTTTTTAATTACTTATTCTTTAAAAATATTTACAGAGGGTCTTAATTAATAATATTTTTTTAATTACTTATTCTTTAAAAATATTTACAGAGGGTCTTAATTAATAATATTATGGACTTATATATATATATTTCCTATATGATGAATAAATAAATTAAATATTAAAATTGTAAATTTATTAATAAATAAATATTAAGTCAAATGATGATTATCAATACTCACAAATATATATTAGTCCATATTTCACATCCGAACTGGTACTTTTGTCTCGACTATAGCTTTTCTGAAATAAAAATTGATTTAAGTAAATTTGTTTATTAAAATTAATAGAAAACGGCCAAATATTTTACTTACATTTTGTTGATTCCATTTACATAGTTATGTTTTATAGTTACATGTGTATACTCTCACCTGAAAATAAAATAGAAAAGTATAAAAGATTTAATTATATAT